CGTATCAAATTGCCCTCTCAATTCATACCTCTCTATCCGTAGATAAGTGTACTTCTCAGACTTCTTCAGAGAAGTTTCTTTGTGCGGTGGATAGTGGTTAACACAGAAACTCACAACTGCTCAAAGAGAACCAGTGACTGTGGAATGCTCAGTCACAAATGGGACATCTATAGCAAACTGCCCCTCTCCCAAAGCCCAGGGACCACAGAGGAAGAAGAGGTGGATGGACTGGAAGAGCCAGAGGTTGAGGAGGATTGGGGCAAAAGGCTGTTTTCTGAACTGTATTCATGAGCTTGCAGCAGGCGTAGTTGCCTGCACATGATCAAACCAGTCACTCTAGCATGGAGGAGAATGGGGTGTGGTTCATAGTCCTCCCGTCCACAACTGAGGCTCTGTGGACAGTTTATTCCTTCTGAGTGAGGGAAAGTCACTTTTCTTTAAGGCCGCGGCCCCTGGTGAGTTGACCAGGCTCCAGTAGATGGCCTCATACTCAGGAGTACAGGGCCGCACAAACCGGACTCACTCAGTGCCCTAGTGTGCTTCCTGTCGTTGTATAAACCACTAACCAGAAACGACTCGGGGTGGGGGGAGGGTTTATTTGGGTTGCAGGTTATAGGCCATCATTGCCGGAAGCCAGAGCAGAAGGTGAAGGCAGGTGGGGGTAGATCTGGAAGAGCTCGGAGGAGGAGTGAATATAGGCTCAAATTTGAATGCTTGCTCTGAAGTTGAAGTGGACGTGATTGGGGAGGATTGGGCGTGGCCTTGTTGGTGGTATATTACTGGGGGTGGGCTTTGAAGTATCCAAAGCCTAAGCCATTCCCAGTTAGGATTCTCTCTCTCTCTCTCTCTCTCTCTCTCTCTCTCTCTCTCTCTCTCTCTCTCTCTCCCTCCCTCCCTCCCTCCCTCCCTCTCTCTCTCTCTCTCTCTCTCTCTGCCTCATGCCTGTGGGATTGGATATAAGTTCTCAGCTACTGCTCCAGTACTATGTCTGTCTGCCTACTGCCACGCTCCCCATCATGATGGCCACAGACTCTTGCCCTCTGGAACCATGAGCCCCTAAATTAAATGCTTTATTTCATACGTTGCCTTCATCATAGTGTCTCTTCAAAGTAAGAGAGAAATAACTAAGAAGTATGATAATACATTACAGGAAGTTCTCAAAGAATAAAATTATTTTTTAAATATTTAGTAAACTTACACTACCTTTTAAATGGCCTCAGAATGACAGTCTAGAGCTACACTGGAATGTAAAACTGATGGTGCTTGTCCAAAGTGATGATTGATAAACTCCATGAAGTCCTTTGTACATTTACTGCCTTTGAATTTGCTGGCATCTACCCACTGCATTCTAATGCTGTCTGGTATACACAAATTGAGCTCTAACTGTGCGTCCTGATTGGCCAGGATGGGAAAGGCATGAACACATGAAAACTAAGAGAATAAGATGCGCGGTAACACCTCAGGACAGGCAGAATACTTGCGTCTCCTTGTTAAGTCAATGCAGTCTTTGGATAAGAAAGCATCGACAGCTCCTCTACTCTTTCACCCGCCCAAAAGTTTAACGGCAGAGCTAGGAATAATTGTGAAGAAAAAATATCTCAAGGACTACATGTTTTTAATGTAGAATTGCTAAACTTAGAGATGTCAGCATCTGTCACAGGCAGTGGTGGGTAAAACACCATCCAGTAAAAGCAGGATGCCTGGTCATGGAAGACAGCCTGGGCAACACTGTTTACAAAACAAAGCCTGGGGCTTGGAAAGTCGATTTTAGAATGAGAGTCAGAATGTGACTGAGCCAAAATGTCTGCTACAGTAGATAAGAGCTTGAAGAGGGACCGTGCTTTTCATTCAGGGGTGGGCTCTTTCTCAGGTACACATGTCTCCTGCTCTTCCTACATGGTTCCCAGATGATCCCAGGGAAGGGGTTCAGGCCTCATCTGGCCCAGCACCGTTAATGAGATGCTGGGTTTTGGGAGTCAATGTAACCCCTGGGTTGTGCCACAAACCTAAGCCAGCAGGACCCCAGCCACCACTTTCTTTCGTTTCCCAGGCCTGTCCTGGCAGCCTCTCGGAGGAAGCAGCAGTCGTTGAACTCAAGGCAGACTATCTTCAGAAATCACGTGGCAAAATGTTGGAGGAAAAGAAAAGATCCTAAGAAATTAAAAATTTATAACAGAACAGAATTAATTGGTTTTGCACTAACCTTTACAACCTCAATCTTAGAGTTTTCTCCCTACTTTAGGGAGCTCACTTCTGTGCTGTCTAAAGAAATGAGTCGTGGTTCCTTTTAAATTATTATTGCGATCTTCATCAAAGGACAGCAGGGACAGTAATTAGTACTCTTCACAAACCAGCCTCACATTTGACATAAACTGCATTTGTCCTTTGCAGAGCCCAAAATGAAGCATTTATTCTTAGAATTTTCTCATGAGTTGTCACTGGAGTTGCTTCTGGACCTTTCTACCACTCAAGTTCTTTTCAAGGAAACAGGAAGAGGACTTTAAAACATTGATAAAGTAGCATCACCCGACCTTCATGGGGGAGTCATCAGATGCCACATTAAAGATAAGGGGATGCTTAGGAATGGCTCCTTAGTTGCTTAGCAACATTAGATTCAGGTATTTATTCAAAAATGCTGCCTACAATTTACAAAGAGACCAAGACTATGAACCAGGGCAAAGTCTTCAGGGCAACTGGATACTTGGAGAGCTTTTGTAAACAGTTTCTGAATGACCATATAAGCACTGGTATCAGACATAAATGTATGCTAAACTGGGAAAACTTAGTCAGAAGGTCCTCCAGTTATCCAGAATATGGCCATGAATTATGGGTAAAACACACAGTTTTGTTGCCATTAGGTTCCCAAGACAAGGTGCAGGGAGGATGAAGCCAGGCTCCTCAGTGACAAAGCTGAGTTCAGGGAGACCAAGGTGGCCAAAGCTCACAGGACGGAGTCAGCGAGAATGGGGTCCAGCCTCTGCAGAGTTACATCTGAAAAATGCTGCAGAGCCCAATATTAACCTGCTACAGATTCCCTACCTCACCTTAATGTAGTTTGGGGATAGGAGACAATATGAATTTTGTTTTGCTTTGTTTTCAAGGAAAAGCACTGTGGAGTTGGACTTGTAATACCCACTTCAGTAGGTACTAGACACACATTTAAATTAACTAAGAATAACATTTTACAATATCTGTATTAGCTGTTCTTACGTCAACTTGACACACGAACTAGAGTTATCTGAAAGGAGAGAACCTTAATTGAGAAAATGCCTCCATAAGATCTGGTTGTAATGCATTTTCTTAATTAGTGATTGATGGGGGAGGGCCCAGTCCATTGTGGGTGATGCCATCCCTGGACTGGTGGTCCTAGGTTCTATAAGAAAGCAAACTGAACAATCCATGAGGAACAAGCCAGTAAGCAGTACCCCTCCATGGCTTCTGCATCAGCTCCTGCTTCTAGGATCCTGCCCTTTTTGAGTTCCTGTCCTGACTTCCTTCAATGATGAACAGCAATATGAAGTGTAAACTGAACAAACCCTTTTCTCCCCAACTTGCTTTTGGTCATGGTGTTTCATTGCAGCAATAGAAACCCTAACTAAGACAATAACCTTCCTCGTTTGTATTACCTGCGTTTTAAGAGCTTAGTAGCCACATGAGCCAGTAACTACAATATTATACAGAAGCAAGTACTTTTATCATTCTAAAAAGTTCGATTAAAAACTTCTGGGGAAAGTAGTTTGAACACATTTAATGAATCAAAACTTTTTAAAATGATTTTTTACTTTTTTACTAAGAGTTTTTTGTGTGTGTCCATTTAGTCTCAAAATTTTTTTTTTTTTTTTTTTTTTTTGAGACAGGGTTTCTCTGTGTAGTTTTGCGCCTTTCCTGGAACTCACTCTGTAGCCCAGGCTGGCCTCAAACTCACAGAGATCCGCCTGCCTCTGCCTCCCAAGTGCTGGGATTAACGGCGTGCACCACCACCGCCCGGCTTAGTCTCAAATTTTATGTTAAAATTTTGGACCTGTAAAAACTTAGAGTCTTGAATTTCAAGAATGTCTTATGACATTTGTAAGTCCTCTGTTGTAGGGACATGCACACAGAGATGGCACCAACTTGACCTTCTAAGGGAGAAGCCCAGTCAATAGCCTATCAAAAGAAAGTGACTAAACACTCTTCTTGGTAGCTACTTTTAACAATGATAAATTCTCTTGCACTTCTCCTCAAATGCATGTTTGATTGGGACAGCTTCTTAAGCCACTTGTCTAGGTTTTATCATCCTGACAGCTCATGATATTGACATTTTTCTCTTGAATATGCAGATGTGTAGACACTGTGAATAGATGGATATAGTGAGTCAAGTGAGCTCAATTTTGCTTATTTCTTGTGAATAAATTGAAATCCGAAGTCTTCTCCATCATGATTAAAATCAGGCATTTTCTCCAAGGCGGTACAGAGCTGTTCTTCTTGCTGCCTAAGCAATTTCAATCACAAAAACAAATTGCCTCCATATGGGTTCCTCCAGGAGATTTCAACTAGATGGAAAGAAACAAAAAATCTCCTCACTGGGGACTCAAAGGCTTCATGGTAGACGGGGGTAGAGTTGTTGGAGATTAATTATTGAAAATAAGCCGTGCCTCATCCCATTTCCCCTCTGAGCATCACCCGTCATCTAGCAGACAGCTGCGTAGGGTAGCTGAAGAAAGTTCCTCTCTGGGAACCTACAGGGAATGCCCGGTAGAACAGAATGTCCTGCCTATAGCTGCCCCAGTCCCCTCAGGCCCAGGTGAGGGCAGCTCAGAGTGTGCTGGGATGGAGGATTCAAGATGAACATTCCTGACTCTATAGGAAACTTCAAAAGAAGGCTCAGAGGGAAGCAGACCTCTTCCACTTGCAGAAGATGTGGCGGGGCAGACAAAACGCAATGAGGACTATGGTATTATGGTAGCCTCGTGCAGGGACAGTGGCAAGGAATGCTGAAGAAATGAACAAGAACAACTCTCTCCCACTTCTTTCTCCCCAGTTCCCCAATCAACATTTATTTATTCTCAAGTAAAAGCTTCTTTTGCCCTGGGGTTTCCCCCCCTAAGGAATCAATTGCCTTTTTAAAAAGGACGCTAGTTAATCTGTCTTGTAAAACCAACAGTACATTTTCTATAAATACACTTGGAAAACAGCCAATTATTAGGTATTAGAGATGTTATTTTTCCATGATTACTATCAAATAGCCTTCCCTTCAATTGGTATGTTTTCATACATATTTATGACCTATTTAATATATCATCACCTGAAGTAATTCATATATAACACCCTTGAGAAGAGTTACAGAGTATGTTGTAGGAGACCACAGGCTGTCAACAGGTAGCAAAGACAGACTCACAATCTTTGAACTTGATCAGAAAGTCATAGTTATCAACTTAAAGTCTAGAATTCAATGAGGAAGAAAAAAAATATTGCTGAGAGTCGGCATAATATTACTAGCCCATAATTAACTTTCTAAAGTAAAGCACAGAGATCAGTCCAAATGAGCCAATGAGCAAGTATTTAATAGTTTTTCTGAGGTAGAAGAATTTGCTCTTCCTGATTTTGAAAGACTGGACTCCTAGAAGTAAAACATGGGGATGCCGCAGCAAAGAAAGGAGGCTTTTCCAGTAAATGGCAATCCAGTGGCTAGCCTTCAGCAGGGTTTGTTGAAACATTAAGAGGCACTGCTACGAAACGGAGAGCAGCAGGTAAGAGTTAACAGAGGCAGGCGCTTGCTCTGCTCATGTGCCCTGTTTACTCTTGTGTGTCACACATACAGTCATTGCTGGCCTGGAAAAGACTCTATTCTGGACGTAAGTCAAATAGATGTATAGGAAGGAGTCTTGTACGGCAATCATAGACTCTAAATACATCTATCTGCTCTTACCGACTTTTTTTTAACTTCTTCAAAATAAAGAAATAAATCATGGTCATAGAGATATGAATCAGAAGTCTTGGGTTCTAACTCTGGTTCTAACACGACATCATTACCGGCAAGCCACTTGATCTGAATGGACCTCCATTTCTTTATCTGACACATGAGGAGATAGGATTTGACTGTGGACACCTCTAAAAGGCCCATGGGAGCCAGAAGCAACTAGGTCTTTACATGATAGAGGCATCAGACACTGGAGGGTCTGTGGAATGCTACCAAGTATGATAAAGAGAGAGAGAGAGACAGAGAGACAGAGAGAGAGAGACAGAGAGAGACAGAGAGAGTCGGTCACCATGCTTACTAGGACAGTCAGAATTCAGTCCCTTTCAATTGTCGACATGGGTGATACCATATTGTCAGGTTTGTCAAGAAAAAAATGGATGTGATTATTTCTGGTCAAATACTGTTATTTTAAATGCCACTGGGAAAACAGACTAAATCTATCTGTGGGTGGGGCGGGACCTGTAGCCACAATGTTGGGACCTCCACAGAGATGTTTCCAGGATCTCTGCTGTATGGTTCTACTGAGGAATGCAGGAAGTAGGTGATCCTGGGAGTCCAGAGCACTGCAGGCACAGCTGCTCTATTTAATCTTCTTCTCCCTGGCTCTCATTAACATATGGACACCGTAAGGAAATAGAGCCACCACAGTCAGTGGGATGGATGCACTTTTACAGAAAGACAACAGGTAAAATAAAGGTTCCGTGTGAGTCGGGATCTTGATGAAGTGATAAAGTTGTAATGTGGTCAGTGAGGTCACGGCACAGAGCAACCGGAAGCTCGGCCTGCAGCCATTTTCTCCCCGGCAGCTCATAAGGAACATTTTTGAGTTGATGGCGAAACCCAAGCCAAAGAGGACCCCGAGGTTTCTCACAAGACCAGCAAAAGGCGTGCTGTCCATGTGGATCCAGTCTGGGTTGGCACACCACTTTTTGGCTATAGGCACAGACCACAGCAGGTCAATGTCGAGCAGTCTGAGAAGCAGGTAAAAGCCAAGTGCAAATAGGAAGAGGAAGATGTTGGTCTTCAGGTACATATTCAAGCTGGCCATGTGGATGCCTGGAGTGTGTTCAAAGGCCTCTGCTACTAGCATCCCTAGGGATTGCAAAGAGATACTGCCATGAGTGTGTGATCCTGAACCCTTCAGAAATCTCTCCCCTCTGCACGGGGCAGGGAGGGGGGGGTGCTTTAGACACCCAGCTTCTAACAATTTCCTAAAGTGTTTTCAGACATTAATTGAAAACAGGATAGTCCCATGGTCTTTCCACTACCTACACTGGCCAAGATGGATCAGTTAGAAGCCAATAGCATTGAATGACAACCCATTTTACAGGCAGAACTCTAAGCAATACAAAGCAGCCACTAAGTGAAGTTAAGCCATGCAATAAGAACTTAGATAACTCAGAGTGTCTTGGCTGTGGGTTGCAGGATCGTTGTGAAGTCCCCCCAAAGCACGGTACATGACAAGATGGCTTGGAAGATGGACTTCACTTCAGTTACACCTCTCAGCAAAGCCCATCTCGCCATGTAGTTATCCATTCCACATGTGAGAGAGACTGTCAGCATGTGCATAGAGGCTCAGGGGAGAGGTATTAAATCACCTAAGCCCCCAATGGTAGCATTTGTGTTAGTGGCTTGATAGAACTACCTCTGACACCAGAAAACTGATGACCAGGGAACATCTGACACCACAGTGCACCAAACAAAGCAAAGGTTTACCAACTAAATATAAAAGACCATACTTACCACCAATGACTCCGAGAATGACCTGATGAGGGAAGTGTGTTGCTATGAATACTCTGGAGATGCAGACGCTGATTTGAATCAACCAGAAAACACTCCAAAGGAAGGACCAGGCCAGTCTGTGATGGAAGAATAGACACAAGCATGAATAGTAAAGAAATCATAGCACCTATAAAATTAGGTATGTGACACCTGATAGTCCTTACAGGAATCTTCCAGGTATGACATAACACAATTATAGAGTCTCTTTTTCAACACACCTTCACGTCTTCCATAGGATTCAAAAGCTTTAGCACAGGACCTCACATTCCTCAATGCTATCTCCTAAGACTTTAATAAATGTTTAAAAGGAAGGTATGTAGTCAAAATCTCAGCATGGAGGAGAGGGATGTGGGCATGAAGTCCTACTCCACCGGAGGAGCTACTGGCATTTGGTAGCCATGGGGAGCGGGGGTGGGGGGTGGGGGGGAGTTAGGTTTTTTTTTTTTTTTTTTTAAGAGTGTGACATCTGGTAGGTCTACCATGTTCCAGTCAGGCTCCACACCCAAGAGCAGTTGAGTAACATAATTTGCTCCTGATGAGTTTAAGAGAAGAGACAGAAAGAGAGACAGACAGACAGACAGACAGAAAGACAGAGATCCAAACTGGGTTGCTAAGGAGGTAGGGGTGGATCTGGGAGAAGCTGGGTGAGAGGAGAGTTATACCAAGATACATTGTATGAAATTCTCAAGAATTATTATAAATATTATTCTTAAAGAGGAAGGCCTTTTGATGACCTTGAAATAAGGGAAAAGGAACAAGGAAGTTTCAGGTGTGCGTGTGTGTGTGTGTGTGTGTGTGTGGGGATCAGTAGTATCCAGAATAATCAAGAATAAACCATACAGATTTCTGTCCCCTGTCATTTGTGCTTCCTCTCTGCCCTGCACTCTCAGCTTTTCTTTGCTTGAAGAAGACACTGGAGAGGCAGTGTCCATTTGGGTGAAAAGCTCACGAATGTTCCACTGAGCCCGTGGCGTGTAATCTCACAGACTCTCAGGGGCCCTGAGCATTGTATGATATATAGAAAAATAAAAAACAAGAAAATATACCATATACATTCAATTAGAAACACAAATGTACAGAAAAAAAAACAGTGTAGCCGGGTGGTGGTGGCGCACGCCTTTAATTCCAGCACTCGGGAGGCAGAGCCAGGCGGATCTCTGTGAGTTCGAGACCAGCCTGGGCTACCAAGTGAGTTCCAGGAGAGGCGCAAAGCTACACAGAGAAACCCTGTCTCAAAAAACAAAAAACAAAAAAAAAAAAAAAAAAAAAAAAAACCAGTGTAGAATATTAAAATCCAAACAATTAAAAGAAAGCTGTATTTAGTGCCAGGCATCATCAAATGGTTTATTGTTTACAACTAGACCAAAATTTAGTTATAGCAAGACGAAAGATTAAAAAGAAGAAATGAATCTGTCAAAGAAGAGGTACCAAGTGTTTCTCCAAAGGGAAGAAGAATAAACAAGTATTTGAAAATGTCAAGGTAAAGTGTAGGCACTCACTACATTTTCTTTCAAAGATTTAATTTATTTTTATTTTATGTGTATGAATGTTTTGCCTGCATGTACATATAAAGTACCATGTGTGTATCCCTGGTACCCTTAGAGGCCAGAAGAGGGTGTCAGATGAAGAAAATATTGCCATTACAAATGTCAAAAAGGAATAGGAATATTTGTTAGAACAAACATATTTTTCTAGGATTGTTAATTCGAGGGAAGAAGACCCACATAGACTTATTTCTTACATTATTCATCACTACTCTTAAGAAGTGGAATAATTCTTCATTTTAGAAGAAATTTTATATACTGGTTATGGTTGTATGCCAGATTTTTAAAAAGGTTGACACATTTTCTTTCTATAACTAAATTTTGGTCTGCTTGTCAACAACATAATGTTTGAGGATTCCTGGTACTCAATACAGTTTTTTTAATGGGTGGATTTTAATATTTGATTTTCCTTGCATATTTCTTCTTCTAATCAAAACTGTACAATTTATGACTATAGTGGTGTTTGCGATTGCTTTAATTACAAAGAATTTCAAAAGGAGAATAGAAGAAAAAGACCAATTTCTTCAATGGTGTGTTATCTTAAAGTTCTATATGGGTCTACACATTAAGAAATCTGTTGGCAGTAAATCTAACATGCGAACTTAATTTTGCCTCTAGAATGTTTTAATTAAAAAGACTGCACAGATTTTTACAGCTAGAATATATTTTAGTGATCTTAAAAGCACTGGGTGTTCAAAGTAGGAAGCATAATTTCACTAGATAAATCAATGCATTCAAGAGCAACGGTGATTCTTAAGATTTTAAGTTAATCTTAAGGCAAGAGAACATGTGTGCAAAAATGTTTCCTTGCGCAATTTTAGATGACTTGTTTATGAAGTATCAAAATAATAACTGAATTTCAGAATCCCAAAGGCATATTTAACAAGTCATTAATCAGATAAACATTTCCAACTCAATTATAAAAGCGGTAATAGCTGTGAGCTAATTAGGACATTATCTTAAAGCAGAATATTCATTTCCCACTCACTCTGCTCCATGGGCTGTGAAAGAACAGAATAAGCACATTTCATTGAACGACTGAAAATGTATTAAAATGAATATTTGGAAAGGACTTCACCTATTCAATACTGTCTTGTTCATGCTACAGAAGCTGGAGCAAGCTGACCTGTGCCGAGTGACAGAGGACTTCTCCAGCAGGCTGACAGTGAAGCTCAGGGCAGCTGTTACCGTGACGTACCAGACACACGATGAGCCCATTGCCTGACCAGATGGACTTCCTGTAATGAGCATTGTTTGTTCAAAAAGTGGTTAATTAAGTATCAGGAATGAGACAACAGGATGTCATATTTCCCATGAAAATTACAATAAAATAAAATAAAATAGAAGCCTCATTGGTTATGGGTTAATGTATACTGTATAGAAGTAGATAAAGGTTGAGTCAATTTGAGACTCAAAATTCACCATTTCAAAAACTTTTTTTTTCTTTAACAAAAGGAAGGAACAGAGAGAAAATTGCTAGATATGACTGATTTTTCCTCTTGGTCCCTATAGTAGCCCATACTTGACCATTATATGGACAATAATCGTTAGAGTTAAAAATTGCTGTGTCAAATATAGGGAATGTCACTTCTCCAGACAATTCCACATGACATGGATGTAAGAGGGCCATGAGAAGTCCTGACATGAACCTACAACATACATAATCAGCCATAACTTTATGTAATTCTACCTTAACTTTCTTTAATGAAAGTGTTTTACATATTAACTCTCTCCCTCCTCCAGATTTTCAAGGTGATTGAATGCTGCAAATCAACATATCCAAGTATAACTAAGAGCATGGCCAGTTGCACTCAAATCTAACACAATCTTATTCATTCTTCGTATGTTGTTTTCAATTGACAAGAAAATTAAAGTACTACTGGATCTTGAGTCGATTTATTTTCCTTTAGCTAACAGGCTGTCATTGGTCGGCCTGTGGATTACCGATTGACTTACAAACAACTGCTGTGTGTAGGCGGAGAAACCAGAATGTGCATATTGTGGCCATTGCAGTGAGAATCTTTGCTAAACAATGGAGAATCCACTCCACCCAGACACTAAAGGGGGGTGTGAATCTTGACAGAAAAAACCTGCCATTAGGCCTTTCCTTATTACCAGAACGGATGCCTTTCCTACACTGTTAGTTTTACTTTTAACCATTTTACTTAGGTGCTGGACATAACTTTTCACCCAGCAGAAAGCCACTTGGGTTAAATATCAAACTATCTTGGAAAAACAAAGCACCAGGCACTTTTTTTGTTGTTAAACCTAGATGCACCCATTTTTCACTGTAGGAATTCTTTTTCTCTCATCCCATATCCTGTGAAAAGAAAGAAACAGATGCCAGGAAGTTTTAGGATAAAGGAAAAGAGCATTTTAGTCACCCCAAAAGCTATCCATCAATCCGTCTACCTACTTATCACATATTGGTTACACAAATATGAAATACATTTAATCCTTGGCTAATGGGGCATACAGTTGGAGCAGCCAGATAGCTAAAGAATTACTATATTAAAAATTACACACACACACACACACACACACACACACACACACACACACACACACACACTCTTTTATGAAAGCAAAGGAAGATATTCAGAAAATTCATTAGGAGCTCATGCATTTAGGGTTTGTTTCAAAGGAGTGCCCAACGGCAAGAATTTTATGCTGTTCAGCAAACCACGATATGGCACAATACAACACTTTCACAAAAGCTAAGGCAACATATATTATATATACATGACATATACAAACTTTTTACTCTCTTAAATTCAACTTCTACATATAGATGTCATACTTAATACAGACTCTTGTAAGTTAAAAACAGCCTAAGAAGCCCTGCTAACATGCTACACAGTCAAGAGCAAAAAAGGATAAAAAAAAAAAAAAAGGTAAAGACACTGTATACTGGCAGCAGGAATACTAGGAAGTCCTCATCTTTCTTATAAAACATCTGTCTTTCCCCCATTCATGAGATTCTCGGAAGACCTGTAGCCATGAAGCCACTGAACAGCAGACAAATCAACATTTCTAGACTTTTTTTGTTTTGTTTTGGTTTGGTTCTTCCAGACAGGGTTTCTCTGTGTAACAGAACAAAGCCCTGGCTGTCTTGGAACTCGCTCTGTAGACCAGGCTGGCATCAAACTCACAGAGATTCGCTTGCCTCTGTCTCCTGAGGATTGAAGGTATATGCTACCATCTCCAGCCATTTCTAGACTTTTAATGTAGATCTTTGGGACTTTGTTCTAGCTTACTGTTTTTTCATTTATTTTCATACCAAACCATTACTTCAAAAAGTAAATACCCAAGTATAAAATGATTTGGGAAGTATTCTCCCCACATAATCTTTCATAAATAACAATATAGAATTTGACTATTCATAAAATTCTTTCCTCCCTCATTAGCAATTTTTACAATAACTGTTAAGCATCCCCACTTGTGATATTTTCTTTGAGATCCTAGATATCACATGATTATAGGATACTAATCATGCATAAAGACTTACAATAGCATCCGTAAAGTGAGGTTTCTTTAATTGCTTACCTGGGCCTGTTTCACATGTAGTAGGAAACTGTTCAAGACATGGGCTTGAGTGATTTGGGTAAATCTGAGTTTCTTGGATCCACCAGTAAGGACGATGCCCAAATAATATCCTGTAGTTAAATGCATACGAATTTCACATGTACTTATATACAACAGTTAACTAAGTAGAGACTTGTGATTTTTGTAAAAAATGATTCGAGTAAAGAGTCAAGGGGAAAAGCTCATAATTTAAACACCCTGGAATAACTTGGGTTTATCATATAACTATCATCACAGAGGATGGTAGTATCTGGAGTTTGGGCACCCTTGTCTCCCATAAACAGGGAAGTCCTGTGGGTGCTTTTGGGGCTTAGAGTGGGACTCTCAAAATGTCCTTAGAATCATCCTTCTCACTACTGTACTGCTAACTTGTTGGCTAATCACAGCATATGTGTTATTGGGTTTTGGAATAACTTATAATTCAGTCAAAGCAAATATTTCTATACTTTTTGTAAGTTCTACTTATGAATCCTGGTGTTTCTAAGTAACCAATTTGTTTGAAGTATATTCCAAGTCAAACTACATGTGCCTGAAACTTGATCGTTAAGCTAAAATTACAAATGTAAGAATACATTTTAGGAAAAAATCGAACAAATCAGTAGTCTTACCACTTGAATATAAGATTGAACCAGTCCCCTATGGTGGCCACCCATATCATCTTGGTTCCAATGGTCTGATTCAGTTGAAACCAAAGTGGGAAGTAAACAGAAAAGATATTCCGGGGGTCTCCAACATCGGACACAAAGTTTAGAAAATCGTAGTAAGCCCTGTAGTCTCTCTGTAGATGCTGAATAATGAGCACTCCACTCGTGTGAAGGAAATCCATCTTGAGAAGATGCGGGTCTAAACCTGAAGCCATTGGAACTGCGGAGCTCTGGGTCCGCCCATCTTTATATGGCACCCTTGTGATGTGCTGAGCCATTACTGTGACATGTGATGCTGACCATCTGTGGAGAGGGCATGATGGTCCTCCTCCCCTGAAAAGTTCATCTGTTTGTGACTTTAATTGGTGGAAAAGGTGCAGTACATGCTGATCCGGGGCAATTTGGAGGGAAGCACAGTGGACTTCTTCTGCCTCCTTCTTTTCTGTGAACAGCTGGATCATGTTTGCTTGAAATTTTTCACGCAGTTCATTTCCCTCAAGGGCAGACATTAGCAATCTCCATGCTTGGCTAGCAGACTACATAAATAATTATTCCGTGTCAAATAAGCCTCAAAGCTGTGCATTTTAATTTCAGATAGACTGGCTTTCTGACTGATCTACTACGTCTCTCGGGAAAATGGAAGGGTGAATTTTTTATCTGAAAATTTTTATGATTCAACAGATTAATTTCTGACGATAGGTTTAAAAAAACCCAAATGATTGGATAGGTCCTCACGATCTAAGATGACAGGGTATGTATGGAACAAAGAAGAGGCTACAGGGGGTACATGAACTCAGGGGGGAAATGTGTTGTTTACATGTTTGATTGTGAGGCCCCCCCCAAAAAAGAAACAACAACAAAAAAAGCAGACTTCCTTGACTTACTTGGGTAATAGAAATGTGTTAGGACTAAACTATTATTATTTTTACAATGTATGTATGTCCGTGTGTCTGTCTATGGGTGCACACATAGCACGGAGTATTTCTAGAGGTCAGAGGACAACATTCAGGAGTCAGTTCTGTTTTCACCGAGGGTTCCAGGGCGTGAACCCAGGCAATCAGGCTTGTGGAGTAAACACTCTTACTACCGAGCCATCTTCCTGGCTCTATACTGCTTTTAACTGACGAGAGAATACAGTTGCGAGGTTTGGAAAACGGCACTTGTGACAAAGATAGAAATTGACCACCGAGGGCTTCCCACCAATCAGGGACTTTCAACCATTTGGTTTGTTGAAAATTGCTCGTTAGAAGTAAACGAGAAGCACCCAAACAAACGCATAAATTGGGGCGAAGAGAGTGCAGCGTGGAGACCGAGTCAGAGTGCGGTTCTGTTTCTGTCTAGTAGGGTTGGTGAGGGGTCAACTAAACCCTTCCAGGTGCTGAAGGTGTGGCCAGTAATGTGCTACTCATCCCTCCATTCAGTGGTCTTTGTGAATCAGAGCCTCCTCTACTAGAAAGTGTCTTCACGGGCTACAGCTGTCACCATGATGATCGTCTAGAGTTATGCCATCGTTCTACAGGATCAGTGTTATGGGCAGGCAGTCCCTGTGGGTACCTCGCTGACCTCTGTTGCCTCCCCTGGAAGAAATGGATTGACTGGCCATTAAAATGTTTGGGGGCCTCAAAAAAAAAAAAACCAAAAAAAAAAAAATGTTTGGGGGCACTTTACAGCAAGCATAGTTCTTTTGATAAGGGGAAAATGGGGTGGGGGAAGGACTGGCCTGTTTCTAACATACATTGATTTAGTAGAATTATTCTTTTTTTGTTATTTAAAAAATGTTTTTTTTATTCATTTTACATACCAATCACAGATCCCCCTCTCATCCCTCCTCCCACTCCCCCTCAGGCTTCCCCCTCAACTCATCCCCCAACCCCTCCTCCAAAAGGGTAAGTAAGGCCTCCCATGGGGAGTCAACAAAGCCTGGTACATTCAGTTGAGGCAGGGCCAAGCCCCTCCCCACTGCATCTAGGCTGAGCAAGGTATCCCACCACAGGTATTGGGCTCCAAAAAGCCAGTTCATGTACCCGGGATAGATCCTGATCCCACTGCCAGGGGCCTCTCAAACAGACCAAGCTACACAACTGTCTCCCATATGCAGAGGGCCTTGTTTGGTCCCATACAGGTTCCACAGTTATCGGTCTAAAGTTTGTGAGTTCCTACAAGCTTGGAACTGTAGATTTCCCCATCATGATCTTGGCCCCCCCAAGATCATGTAATCTTGCTCATATAATCTTTCTTCCCTCTCTTTGACTGGACTCCCAGAGCTCATCCTGGTGCTTGGATGTGATTCTCTGCATCTGCTTCCATCAGTTCCTGGATGAAGGCTCTATGATGACAGTTAGTGTATTCACCAATCTGATTACCAGGGTAGGCCAGTTCAGGCACCCTCTCCACTATTGCTAGTAGTCTAATGTGGGGTCATCCTTGTGGATTCCTGGGTATTTCATATAGCCAGAACCTGGAAACAACCTAGATGCCCCTCAACCAAAGAATGGATAAAGAAAATGTGGGGACCCACAGAGGCTCCCTACTAAGGCCTTACTTAAGGTCAGAAAGTCTGAGCTTGCTTTACTCAACAGGGCAGCATAATAGGATGATCTGACCAGGGGTGTGGTTACCAGGTGTTTTGAAGGGTCTATACTTGGTTGTACATTGTGCTTTGATCTTGAAATGGGAGGTCTTTTGCCCCTCCCCTTGCTGATGTATAAAAGGCCCATTATGAATAAAGTTGGGGTGGCTGGGTATTAACCCAGGGCCTTTCAGAAGTTATCCTGTGTCTATATATATATTCCTCACTCCTCCCCTCAAGAACCCTTAGACAGGTCGGGGCTGGCCCCTGACAGGTGCATATACACAATGGAGTATTACTCAGCTGTAAAAAACAATGACATCATGAAATTTGCAGGCAAATGGATAAAACTAGAAAATATCATCCTGAGTGAGGTAACCCAGACTCAGAACGACAAACATAGTATGTACTCACTCATAAGTGGATACTAGATATAAAGCAAAGACTACAACCCCCAGCTCTAGAGAAGCTAGGAAACAAGGAGGACCCTAAGAGGGACGCATGGATCATCTTGGGAAGGGGAAACAGAGGAGATCTCCATGAGTAAACCAGGGATGATGGGGGGCAATAGAGGGGAGAAGATGGGGGATGAGAACATGAGGGGAAGGGATGGTCGAGCTGGGGAGGGATGGAGTGGGAGAGCAATGAAAGAAATATCTTGATAAAGGGAGACATTATGGGGTAAGGAAGAACCCTGGTGCTAGGGAAATTCCCAGGAATCCACAAGGATTATTCTTAACTGGCAATTAGATACCTCAGGCTATCATGGGCAATGACCTTGTCTCATCCCAGATCCACTGAATGTTTGGTGGTGGGATCTCAGCATTGGTCATATAAAAATACTCTGATTCCAGTGTAGAACCTGAGCTTAGAATGACTGAGCTCAAACAAGCCATATGTAGCATTTGCCATGACCAACCAAAATCCATCCTTCAGGCCTTTTTGTTTTACATATTCAGGTTCTCTAATTTCCATAATTTCTTTAATGAGCCACGAGGAAAGACATAACTTCCCTTTATTCTTTTTCTAAGCAGTTTTTGAGCTACATAATTCATGATATTCATTTTCTTTAGAAGTGCCTTGTCCTTAAATCAGGGTACAAATGGTATCAAATGCATTTTGTCTTACAATTAAAAATGAAACTTGGTGCTCATTCGACATTTTGGAGTCTATGGACTGGGATGAAGGTGACTGCCCATTTTCTCTTCATCTTGGGTATTAATTTAGACAGTCTCTGTATCTCCAGAGAGCTCCAGTTCTGCAGATTATAGGATAATTAACAGAAGGAAAAGTATCTCAGTGTCCTTTTCCCTTTAATACAATTTGCTAAATCTTTTGATCCCATCATAGTTCGCTGAGTCTTTTCATGTCTTTGCTCGGTGCACTTTCTCAGCACTGACTTCTCTGAACAGAGATCCCCATCGCTCTCTCTCAGGCGTTCTTTCTAGGGCAACATATTCCTCTGCCAAGGCCGCCTGCCATGAGAGTATCAGTCTGGGTGGCTAACATGAACATACATTAGACTTCTCATACTCATGGACTGTAGAAGTCTACGATGAAGGGGGTCACCACTGTTACAGTTTCCTCCGTGGCCCCTCCTTGGCCTTTGGATGGCTGCCGCCATCTCCGTGTGTCTTTACACGGTGTTCCCTCAGTACCTGTCCCCACCATACGCATCTCTCCTTCCCTTTCCTGTCTTTGTGTTTCTCTCTTACTCTTTCCCCCTTCCATCTCACCCCCTTTCGCACACATTGTGAGGTTTACTTATCTAGACTCATCACTATTATTGTAGTTTGAGACCGGGGATCAAGGTTGACCTTGAATGACTTCCGGCATTATCTGTGTCTTCAAACTGGTCACTATCTTTACCCTTTCTAGCCAAAGTGCAAAGGCATCTATCTCTAAAACAACCATAATGAAGCTGAATTGTCCAGTATTGCATTTAAAAATGAAACCAAGGCCTGTGTGATAGTTCAACAGCTATGAACACTTGCTGCCAAGCCTGGCAACCCGAACTCAGGCTCAGGAACACACATGGCAGGAGAGAAGTGAGACTCCGCCCACCTGGGTATGCATACCCACCCACATACGTATAACACAAAACTCTCCCACACAAAGCTAGGGGTCCTCAGAAGTACACCTTCCCTTCAGGATCAGTTGATTCTCTTGCTGTAGGATCGTTCTTCACTTGATTTCTCTAGGCTTCCAACAATTAGAGTTCTGCTATGCCAGAAAAAGCATTTCTGTGTGGAAAAAGAGAGAAAAAAAATCGTTCTTAGTATATGGTTTGGATCCAGTCTTGGCCTGTCAGGAGCCAAGTAGCCTAACTGATTCTCATGGGAAAAAGCTGTGTACCTAACCTTCCGTTAACAGTTTCAATAGCAACCATTTTTCAACAAGACCACAGTATGTACCTTTTGATCAACTCCCTGAAACATAATGGTTTGCTGTATGGTCCGTTGATCAGGCCCTGGAACAAAGAGACCTTTTCCTGAACCCTACCTTACCCTAACTTCCTCCTAGTAACTTTCCATACCCCTATCTACTTCTCCTAGCCCCTAGCATATATAAGCCTGACTCCCCTTGCAATAAACGAGACCTTGACGTGACTCAGACTGACTTTGTCTTCCTTTATGCGCCTGGTCTCCTTTCTCTCTCGCCCCCATTGATCTTTCAGGAGGTGCCTCCTCGGGTCTCATCAAATAACCTGGCCCGCGGGACGGGTCATTGACCAAATCTTTTCAGTCCCTGGGCAACCCATCATCTGCAGTGTATTTAGTAGCCAGTGAACTTCCTGTAATCACTTGCAAAATGTTTGTCCTTACTCACATTTCTTTGAAGAAGGTCATAGCTTTCAGCAGATTACCAACGGAACCCCTGACCCAAACAAATTAAGTACAATATGAAGTTGGCTGGCATTCCCCGTAATGTCTGTGTGCCTGCTCCCAGGATCTCACCTTCTTGTTTCCTTGGAGACTTCAATACTCCATTCTCCCCAGCGTGACTGGCTTGTGTTAATGATTTCCTTACTTTCAATGACTGTGTTGGTGTGTTTTCTCTCACTAATGTAGCCAGTCTCAAAACCCGATACTGTTGCCCTGTTTTGAAGGTAGTTCTAGTAATTGAATACTTGCAGCTCTCTCCACAATGTTCTCATTCAGGTTTATTTAAACGGTCCCTGGGTTTTAAGTAAACCCTGCTAGTTTCAGACTGCAACTTGGAGGCCATAGAGCAGACGTTTTTTCGGTATGTTTTGCCATAGCAAATATTAAAAACAAAACAAAACAAACCCACAAGCTATGTTCTTGTCAGAAAATGAACTCTTTGTCTCTGAGTTATAGTGCCTGCTGCAATTCAGCACCATTCAGACACGTTTGCCTTGGGCCGGCACTGCTCATGTGTTGGCACCAAACAAAAATAGGCCTTTAATGTCTTCATGGCCATTATCCTTTTCTAACAAACTTACCTGCCTTTTCTAAAATAAATCATATTTGAGAACTCTCCAGTGTCACCTTGCCGAGTAAGTGGATTTATTTCAGACTCTAGAGTTGAGACTCTAGTGACTTTTAGAAAATAATTACCTCCATTCTGGCTAGCATCCCAGGAACACTGGCATTCCATAATGACACTATTATAAATGATCTTGCCACAGCTTTCAGGTACCCCTTCCATTAGTCTCATTATGAACTACTCTCTAGAACTAATCATGACCCATACATCCATGAGCTGAGGCTTGGATCACAGGAGAAACCAACAAAATGGCCCATGGAATGGTAGTATTCATTTTCTTTCTGGTGGAGCTACGGTGTTATGTAGATGAATTGATGTCAGATGGCCGAGGGAGCACTTACTCCGCAACACATTCTGCTCACCTGGAGGGCTTGTTCAAACCAAGATCCCAGGAACCTGGTTCCAGAGTCTTAGATTTAGTAGTAATTGAGCAGGGCCCGAGAGTTTGCATGTCTACTGAACTCCCAGACAGTGGGGGTATAATTGGAGGTTGAACCTTAGTTTTGAGAAGCACTGACAGGTTTTGATTTTTACTTGTCCTGGGTAGGACAGAAGTAGATCATGCAGCAAGAATCCTGTAGTCTAGTAGAGGCTGTGAGGTAGCTGTACAAACACCAACGCTATGCCCTCAGACAGAACAGAGGAGACAAACAGAACAGGGCGGATGTAACTTTCAGTCAGTGCGATGGAGAAGTTTTGTGGAAGAGGAAGCATGTGACCGACCGGGCCTTGGACAGGAAAATGACATTTCAGTATACAGTGGAGATAATACTATCGTGCCAACATATTTGCATTAATTAATTAGTAGAGTGCATTTAAAAGCTGTAAAATAAACCATCCGGTTTCTTCTTTCCCCTCCCTCCCTCTCTCCCTCCCTTCCTCCTCTCCTTCCTTTATTTTGAGACTGGGTCTCAAGTTACAGCTCAGACTGGATTGGAACTCACTGTGTAGCCCATGCTGGCCTCAAATTCATGGCAGCCTTCCTTTGTCAGCCTCATGAATACCGAGGTTAAAGACAAGAACCACCACGCCTGGCTTCAAAGGACCACTTTTTACATTTAGGAGACAATTAAAAACTTTATCGGCGATTGAAGCCATGACCTCACACATGCTAGGCACTCTACCGCTGAATTACACTCTTTTCTCTTCCTCCTCTTCCAGGACACAGGATCGCATGCTGGCCTCCAACTCACAGCAATCCTCCTGCCTCAGTCTCCCTAGTACTGGGATCAGCAAACCATCATGCCTGACTAGCAACCAGCTTCTTAGAGAGAGAAAGTAGAATAATGGCTGCCAGTGCCCAGGAGACAGAGAATGGGATGCACTGTTCAGTGGACACGGAGATCTGAGTAACAGCAGTGGTGGTACAACGGTGTTAATGCAGCATTGATGTTACTACGCTTAAAAAGAGTTGAGGTTGTAAATAATATGTTATGTGCATTTTACCACATTTTCTAAAAACTGAGTAGTTTTCTTTTGGCATTGAACATTTTCTCAGTATTGAAAAATGTCCTGTCTTTCCCCCCTCTGACACTCTGATATCATTCATCCTTCTTTTCTAATTGAGTAATTTATTAGTGTAATTGTTTTAAATACACAATTCAATAGTTTTTAGCAAATTTATAGGGTTGTAATCAATCACCATAATCTAGATTTACTGCATTTCTGTCACCTAGAAGGCTCCTGTGTGTCCTCTGGCAGCCAATAGCTGCTGCTGCTGGTCCCCACAACCACCCAACCGTTGTCTGGGTAGATCTTCATTTTCTGGTAATGTCATATAAGTTCAACCACATAATACATATTCCTTTGCATCTAGCTTCTTTCATGTAGCATGTTTTTTAGGAAGCTCCCTCCCCCCACCCCATGAATAAAGTTTGCTGTGAGCCTTTCATTCAATTTCCAGGGCCCTGAAATGACTGTTATTTTTATAACATTCAATGTTTCTTTTGTAGGGGAGAATTCTTAGTGAGTTCATCAAACTATCATGCTGGAGGGCTCAGGAAATCCTTTCTTTTCTTTACTTTTTAACATAGAAGATGAAAGAGTCTAGTGAAATCGTGTGTGTGTGTGTGTGTGTGTGTGTGTGTGTGTGTGTGTGTGTGTGTGTGTGTGTGTGTTGAGAAAGAGTCTCACTATGTAACACTGGCTGGCCTGGAATTCATGTAGACCAGGTTGAGCTTAAACTCACAGAGATCACCTTGCCTCTGCTTCCCAAGTGCTAGATCACAGGCATGTGACATGATGCCTGGCCATTAGTCCACTTTCATGGCTGTATTTATATGCTGTTGGCTCTAGTCCTCTGGAGAACACTGACTAATCTGCTGAACAAGGCTCCTTCAAACGGACCCATAGGAACATTTCCACATTGGAAGATGTAATATCTTTTTCCTCGCCACCCTGAAGAAACCAACCCATGTGGGTCCCAGACCATATCTATTCCAGAGAAGGCAGCACTCAGTTGAACTCATGACTTAAGAGATTCACAATAAATCCTGCTTGGGTTGAAATGAATGGCATAGAAACATAGTGATGGAAATGATGACAATGTTCGTGGACAGTGACAGAAGAGTTCTGCTTTCTCCTTTCAAAGACTCAGAAAGCTAGTCCCTGGGATGAGCGGCGGGGATGGGGGGATAGTTTTCTCTATCCCGTCTTCCAGATATGAAAAATTTGACAAATGATAGCAATTTCTTTCTCAGACCTTAGTTGGAAAGGAGCCTGGACAAAACGTCAATGGTTATGGCTAGGTGTGATGATGCACACATACACACACATCTTAAGCACTCAGGAGGCTAAGGCAAAGGAAAAACAGAGATCAAGGCCAGAAGCCCGGGCTACTCAGGAGGTTGAGGCAGGAGGATTACAAGATCAGCCTGAGCAACATAGTAAGACCGTCTTTGAATTAAAAAGAAGAAGAAGAAGAAGAAGAAGAAGAAGAAGAAGAAGAAGAGGAGGAGGAAGAGGAGGAGGAGGAGGAAGAGGAGGAGGAGGAAGAAGAAGAAGAAGAAGAGGACTGGAGATATGGAGTAGAGTGCTTGCCTGGAATGTGCCAGGCTACAGGTCCAAAATTGAGTACAGTAAAAACATAAAGAGAGGGAGTGAGAGGTTGTGGGGCAGGGGGTGGGGTGGGGGTGGGGGAAGAGTTATCAAAGCTAGCCTGGACTACACAGTACGACCAAATAAAGAAACAACTCAGCCTCCCTAACTCCCACAAAGAAAGCAGTGGTCATCCTAGAGTAGGTCACTCTGAGACCTTACATTGCTAAAGGCAATCTCTTTCTCAGTCCAGATTCCTCGGACATAGAGAATCTCATCACCCAGCGGTCAACTGAAGAGTGGTGAAAGGTGAGCAGGCCCAGGGCTTCAGTAAACACCTTCCTTGAATCTCCACTGTCAACGCAAAGCCCAGTGCAAGCATTATCGCTCATTCAGCTGAAGATCCAAGACACCCAAGATGTAAAATGCAAGGTAAATGCTACCACATATCTAAAACCAGATGTTATTGCAGCAGCATTTAAAATTAAAGGCCTTTCACGGCACTCTATCTATCTAACTTTTAAAAATCTTTAAAATAATTTATAATTTTAAAAAAATGTGTTTGTGGGGTTGGAGAGATAGTTCAGTGGTTAAGAGTGCTGGCTGCATTTCCAGAGGACCTGGGTTCAATTTCTAGCTCCCACATGGTAACTCACTGTCTGTAACTGCAGAACCAGGGATCTGATGCTCTTTTCTGACCTCCAAGGGCACTATGTACTCACATGGCACACAGTCATACATGCAGGCAAAACACCCGTACACACCAAACAAACAAAATTGTGTTTCTGGGGGAGCCGTATGTACACGTGAGTGTCAGTGTCCATGGAGACACTTGGGTGCTGGGAACACAACCCACGTCCTCAGCAAAGGTGATCAAATTTGTTAATAACAGGTCCCAGGCAAGAAACTTTCAGACACACTGTGTTGTGCTAAATGATGGTAACTTGCCATGATTCCTAAGTCTTGATTTTTAGTTCTTGAGTTTAAATGGCCCAAATCTGGTATTCCTGAGATACCATAATCTTGTAGCTGGTGTTTGGATGCTTAAAGGAAACAGCAGTGTGGTGAAGACCTCTGATCTTCAAGCAGGGAGTTATTTTCAGGAACAATATCATAATCAAAGATGAAAAAAGTATCTTTTGATACTGATTTCGATACTGACCGTCTCTAGTTCCCTTTCTTTAGAGAGTGTATTCTCAATTCCCTTTTTTTCTCAGTTTTACAAAGAGGGATGCAAACAGCAAGTCTGTTTCATCTGTAAAGTTCGCTTCCCCGCTGTAAGTTTGCTTCCAACAAATCTGAGTTTAAAATCTTTATTACTGTTAATATATTTAAAGTATGTGTTTTAAAATATCTTGGTGTCTCCTACCTGTCTATTTTCAAGGAGCACGGGTTACTTTGGTAGTGTTCTGGTCCCATTCATTTTGAAGTTCTGCAAGATCCAGGAGCATATTGTTCTTGTGACCAGTAAGTTTTAAAAAATCAACATCTGACTGGCCTTGATGGCTCAGGGTGAAGAGTGCCTGCTGTTCCTGTAGACTAGTGGAGTTCGATTGCCAATGGCTCACAACTGTTCCAGGGGATCCGATGCCCTCTTCTGTAAACACATACAAACAGAGAAATTAGGTAAGTAAGATACTCAAGATAAAGCAATGTTAGAGAAGCTTGGGAAGTTCAAAGAGTAAGTGTTGGTAAATAGTTTGGTAACTTTCAGGATGTTGCTGCCTAATCAATCATAACTGGAGTCAGTTCAGGAATATTTTGTCATTTCCAAAATTAAATGAGTACAAAAAAGTGGGGTATATATTTCATAAAAGAATGCAGTTCAATTTCAATTTTTACATTTTTCTTCGTCCCGTGGCAAGTCCTTCTTGCTGTCTCACGACAGACCCCGTCCCGAGTCTGTCTAAGACAAAAACTACGAACCCCAGAATGCCCTGCTCCATATTTGTCCGCGAGAATTCCCCAGGTCGATATCAACCAATCGTTGCAAGGGGAGCCTGTGCTGCCAGCCAATCGGAAGGCGAGTTGACTGGCGGGTAGCAGCGGTCCAGAGTTTGAAATCGAAAGTCTGCGCGGCTGAGGAGCGGCTGGCTGGTTCCTGCCGGACGGTCCGGTCTGGTGTGAAGACGGTGGCGTTCCTGGCCGCCCAGGTCGGGGAGCCTTTCCGAAGGGCTGTGGGGCTCGCCGCTGGCGCGCGGTGAGGGGAAGTGGGCCTGGGCCTGCCGGCGTGTGTCCGCGGCGCCTGGAACGCGGACCTCCGCTGTTAGCCGCGGGGTTCGGGTTGCGTCATCGTCCGTCTGGTCCCCGCCCCCACCCCCCCGCCCCCGTCCGCAAGGGGTCTAGTGCAAAAAAAAAAAAAGGAGACCGTGGGTCCCCCAACTTCTTAGGGTCTCCTTGCTTGCGATTAGATGCTTAGAAGTTGACTGACACCAGGTCCTGTTAAAAAATGACTTGAAAGTGTCATCCGACATATTTTGATACTGTTTTTCCCTTCCCCACCTCCCTTCATGCTACTCTCAGAATAGATGCTCTTTCACCACAGTTAAGCCCAAGTGGCTGGAGTTATCCTGTTGCTAACTACCGGACTGTTGATGGGTTTTGTTGTTTAATTTTTTTATTTTTATTTATTTATTTAAGACAGGGTTTGTCTTGGAGCTCTCTATATTGACCAGGCTAGCCTTGAACTCAGATACCCTCCTGCCTTCTGCCTCTTTAGTGCTGGGACGAAAGGTGTGCACCACCATACCCTGCTGTTTTTAATTTATTTAAACAGGTCCTCAGGTATTTCAGGTAATATACTTGGTTAGAATATGTTGCTTATTTGGTGTCAGTAACAATTACGTGTGTGCTCTGTTTTGCAGTGCCTTGCACAATGTTGGAAGAAGAGCTGGCACTCTTCGAGAAAAGCATAAATGAATTTGGAGATAAGTTCAGAAGCGGCCTCAGTGATAATCCTAGTCAGGTGCTGGGGCTTAGGGATGCCTTCAAGGACTCCATTAGAGCGCTTTCAGGTACTGCACTTCATTCCCAGCTCGCTCATTTTGCCGTTCTTATTTACTTTCTACTGTTACTTCAGCGGAATTGAAACTTCTGTTGTAATTTGTCTTGCAGAAAAGCTGTCTTTGAAACTAAAGAAAGAAGAAAGGATGGTTGAGACATTTCTGGAATATCAAAATCGTATGTGAAAAACTATAGATCAGTTTTTAGATTGAATGTCCTTATTGTGAAATCTTCATACAAATAAGACAGTGTAGTAAGGGTTCATACATTCACATACATGCATACACACATTCATCAAAATTCTAGTCTTGTTACCAGCTTAAAGTTGAATGTCTTTACACCTTCCAGTACCACGGATTTTTTCAGTATTATATTTGAATGCTATATGAATGGCATCATTGTATAATGTATTCTGTCTCTTTTTAATTAAGCAGTGTATGTGTATGCTTATGTGTAAAGGCCAGCCTTTAAAAAAGTTTGTTTTCACATTGGAAATCCCAGCCAAGGAACCTGGAGTTTCTTGGGACTTTGGGGTCTGGTTAATGTTCTAATAATCATATTTTTACCACTACTCTTCACCTCTCATTTCTATAGCTCTCCAGATATTTCAATACTGGATCTGTATCTTTTATTGAATCCTCATACATAAGCCATGAACCTGGGACCATGACTCAAACTTCCATAGAGACATTTGGTATAGGGGCACCATGTTTTAAATACTTAAACTGGAAAACCCTTGCAAAACACACAGTGTGAATACACACACACACACACACACACACACACACACACACACACACACACACACACACACACAGTGGTTGAACAGAAATAACACTTTATCTAAGGTCAAAGAATATTTTGAATATTTGATTGCTCTTGCCCTGGATTAAGGAAACTGCATAAGGTATACTCTTAGAATTCAGTAGAGATAAAGACAGGGAGACCATAGTTAAAATGTTAAAATATATTGTAATACTTGCAGTGATAATGGAATGCATGCCATGTGGGTATAGGCTCTGAAGAGCGTGATTTAATAAGTTGCAGAATATTTAATAACTAACTCTTAATTCCCATAGTCTAAGCCGTTTGCACATTTTAACTCAGTCCTCACAACTTTAAGACACGTAGGTTCTCTTACTGGGTTTTTGTGTGTAGCTTGAGTTTTCTTGCCTGGCCCACAGTCAGGGCAAATCTCTCTCACCCACCAGTCCCACAGCCACTCAGACCCGACCAAGTAAACACAGAGACTTATATTGGTTACAAACTGTATGGCCGTGGCAGGCTTCTTGCTAACTGTTCTTACAGCTTAAATTAATCCATTTCTATAAATCTATACTTTGCCACATGGCTCGTGGCTTACCGGCATCTTCACGTGCTGTTTGTCATCATGGCGGCTGGCAGTGTCTCTCTGACTCAGCCTTCCCCTTCCCAGTTTTATTCTTCTCCTTGTCCTGCCTACACTTCCTGCCTAGCCAATGGCCAATCAGTGATTTATTTATTGACCAATCAGCAACACATTTGACATACAGACCATCCCACAGCATTTGTGAGAGGTTTTCTTTGGTGGTCTGGTTGATTGAGATGGGACATCACTTTCTTTATAGCCCAGGCTGGCCTAGGACTTGTGGTCTTCCTTCTCAGTCTTGTAGCCTCACCTTTCTGAGTGCTAGGATCACAGGCACTGCCACACTCTCCTTACCCTTGTTTTTTAAAAAAGAGAGACTTCTGGAATAGTGCCCTAGCCTTGAATAAATTATATATCTATGAGGTATTTCGCAAGGCACATAGCATTCAGTACTTTTATTTTCATTTGAGTCAAATGTGAATTATTTTACCTGTATGTTGACTTTTGTAGCCTTTCTCTTTGATTTGTTTTTAAATCAGATCTTTTGCCCTCATGGTTAATTTTGTAATTTTGTATCTATAGATGCTATTTTTCTGATTTTATAAGATTTTATTTTGTCTTTTAAGTATTTAGTATGTTCAGGATTTATTTCGATTCCAGCACTGCTTAAAGAGAGTAATCTACCCTCTAGTTGCTGTGTTTATATTTTTCTTGTCATACTAACTTCCTAAATACACTACAATTGCTTCCAGGGTCCTTGTTTCTCTGAGTTGCGTATTAGTTCATTAGTACTTCACTGGGGTCAGGTGTATCTATGCACTGGGAGTACTGCGTCTTACAGGGCAGTTCTGTTCCTTGTTAGTTTAATAAGGTCTGTCACAGCTCCTTATTCTCACCTGTGTATTGTCAGATGGAGTTACTGGTTATTCTTGTCAGATGGTCTGTTGCCTGCCCCTTGCTTCCCCTGAGCCCGCAGTAATGTCTAGACTCTGGGAAGTTCTGATACCTTAGTAGTGTTTAGAAGAACACAAGTGTTATCTAGAATCCAGCTCAGCTATGTGTTTGAGACAAGTTGTAGTTTTTTCTTTACAGAGACTGTTTTCTTGATGTGGATTATTGTCTAGTTGTAGGTGATAATTTGTTTTTGTCATGTTAAAAATATGGACCCCTCTATATAGTTTAAGAAATAGTGGCAGAGTTGGCACAGAGGCATCTACCTATACTACTTGGAAGGCTGTTACAGGAGCATTGAAAGTTCAAGGCCAGTTTGAGCAACTCAGTAAGACCCTGTCACAGGATAAAAATTTTAAAAGGGCTTGGGGGTGTAGTTTGGGGGTATGGAGTGTTTGGTTAGCATTTTTGAGAGCGTTAGCATTTTCGAGAGCCTGGGTTTATTCCCTAGTACAATAAAAAAATTCAGTAGGAAGAGTAGGTACTTAATTTATATATAACATATTTTCCCAGTGCCTGCTCATATGATACATTTTGCTAATATTTTATCTTCATTGTATCTAACGATATTTGCTTTTAGTGGAATATATATATATATATATATATATATATATATATATATATAAATTTGTTTTTGTTTTATGTGTATGGGTATATTTGTTGCATGTATTTTGTGTGTAATACATTCATTCAGTGCCCTTGTGGGCCCAAAGAGGGCATCAGATCCCTTGGAAATAAAGTTACAAATGGTTGTTAGCCTTCATGTTGGTCCTAGGAACTGAATTCAGGTCTTCTATAAGAACACAAGTGCCCTTAACCACCGGGCCATCTTTCTAAGTCCCTGATTTTTTTTTTTTTCCCTCCTTGAGAGTTTTGTATAATAGTTTGGGGTCATACTCACCCCCTCCCCCAGCTCTTCTCAGATCCACACCTCCTCTCCCCACCCACCCCCAACTTTTCTTTTTTCCAAACCTTCAAGACTGATTTGTACTGCCCAAATATTTGTGGATATGTAACTTTCTGTGTAGTGGAGGATGATCTCCTGCCTCTGCCTCGAGCGCTGGGATTACAAGTGTGCACCATCATACCCAGTTTATGGGGTGCTAGGGATCAAATCCAAGGCTTCCTACATGGTAGGCAAGAGCTCTACCACCTGAGTTACATCCCAAGTCCCATATGTTAGTGTTTATTAAACTTTATGACACCTTTTTACTTAACTGTTTGTGTGTGTATACATGTGTGCATACACATGTATACGTACCATGGTATATATCAGAGGTAAGCAGACAATTTACAGGAATTAGTTCCTTTTTCACCATGTGGGATTGAACTCAACGGGCTTGGCAGCGAACACCATTACCTCCCGAGTCATCTCTTTGGTCTTGTCACTGCATTTTTAAATAAAACTAGCTGTGAGTGGAGACGTGGTAATGTCTGCTGTGTTTTAGTTTCAGGATTATGCTAACTTTGTAAGATTTGCCAATCTTATCACCATTTTCTTCTGTCTTTAGTAAATTCCAGAAAAACTTACAAGGCATTAGAATTAGCTCTTTCTGCAAAGTACCGTGAAAAGCTGTCTTGTAGAGTTGGGATATCTTCTGTGGTGGGCTTTACTTACAGACTTATTTGGAACTGCAGGGGTCATGATCTCATTTCCTATTTTGTCCATTAATTTGGTTCTCAATTTTAGAAGCATTTTTTATTTTAAAGACAACAAATAAAACATATTCTCTTTTAACATTTGTGTTTTTTTGAGTCATTCAATATGTTTATCAATCAAAGTACTCTTTATACTAGGGAGATAGAGGCCAAGGGATTATGAGTCTGAGGCCAGCCTTTGCTACATAGTGAATCTGAGGCCAGCCTAGGTTTACATAGGCTCTGTCCCCAAAACAAAATACAAAAAGAATCTATTAATCTTAGGAAAGGCAGTGCTTTTTGTGTTTTTCTTAGTTATAGGTCAGAGTAGGCCGTATGTATTTTTAATGCCATTTGTTTCTTACAGAGCTCTGTAAGCAGAATAAGCTTATTCAAGAAAAGAAAGATAACCTGTTAAAGATGATTGATGAAGTAAAAGACAAGAAGCAGGAATTGGAAGTGCTGACAGCAAATATCCAGGACCTCAAGGAAGAATATTCTAGGAAGAAGGAAAGTGAGTTTGTGGTTACATTTAAAATAGTCGGCTGAATCTCAAAGGCAGGGTGGTTCACGGCTGTATGCATCTTGCTGGCTCTACTTCATGTCTAAATAAATGGCTAACACTTCAGGGCATAGCCAGCCCAGCATCTCTGCTAGGTGTCACTCATATCAACCAAGTGGGCTTGGTTTTCTTTTTGAGATGATTGTTTTGCTTAAAAGGCTTTGTTGAATTTCAGTTACAACCAAACCCTCATGTCATTATTACTCTGGTTGTAACTGAAATTGGACAAAGCCATTTAGTATCTTATGTAGTCTGGGCTGGCCTCAAGTTTGTAATGAAGGATGCCTTTGAACATCTCCTCCTGCTTCCACCTCCTGAGTGCTGGGATTATAGGCATGCATCACCATGCTGTACCTGTGTTGAAGAATCCTTTGAAGGACTTAAAAGGATTCAACAAATGGCCCATAAAATCTCTGCCAGGCAGTTAGTGCGCAGACTCACAACTGGTGAGAGTACAGAGACTATGTGGCTACAGTACTTGTCCCTAAAAGGGTCATTTAATCACACACACCCTCCTTCTGCCAAGACTCAGGGAGCATCACAAAGAGTATAAGACCCAGAGCTTGGGGAGGAGTGCTGTGAAACAGCGTCCTTGGACATGACATGGCCAGGGCGCTCATGAATTCTCAGCAGCTGTGGTTACCTGTGTAAGCTGGGTCAGTCAACATATGAGAGGAAGAAGAGCCCGTGAGACCCCGCCCTCAAAGGACTGTTGACAGTGTTGGCTGTCTCAGTGGTGTAACTGCTGATAACTCAACCCTTGCTCCTGCAGGAAACTCCCTTAAACACAGCAAGTCACAAACACAGGACTTGAAAGTGAGGGGGAAGGGGGGAGGGGAGGAGGGGAGGACCCTGTTGGGAAGAAGCAGGGTTTCAGAAGGAGAAAGATGAGACAGGGTAATAGGAGGTAAAAAGAATGAAAATCCATGTGGTGTGTGTGTGTGTGTGTGTGTGTGTGTGTGTGTGTGTGTGTGTGTGTGTGTGTGTGTGTGTGTGTGTGTATGTGTGTGTGTAAAACTGAAAGGCTAAAAAAGGTTCTTAATCTCTGGTTTATAAACACTCATACTACAAAGGCCCTTTCTGTAAAAACTTTCATATTCAAATAAATGCTTTATTGAGAAAGGAAATTTGCTGGCCTACAAACTCTTCAGATCTCTTGGAAATAGCAGTTTGGTTAGTGCTTTCTTTTACAGAGTTCTCATCCTACTGAATTGTGCACTTATACTTCTCATCTGCCATCTATTAGTTAGACTGACTTGTTAACTTTAAAATAATTGTAAACCAGCATGAAATAAGGCTGAATTCTCATGGGAAGCAGTTATACCTAGAGTAAAATATTTTTCCCATGAAGCAATTAGTATTTATTTGTCTAGCTAGCAAACAACAACAACAACAATAATAATAATGAAGTCTTTTTTAGGCTAGTTATACAAGTCCCTGGCCTGATTTCTGTATCTCAAGCAATCTTTTTTCTTTCATCTTGAACAGATACCCCTTTTGTTATTTGTTAGTTAGAAACTGAATAAATATAAACAGATGGATATGCCTGGCATAGTTTTTTAGTAGTTTTCAAGTTTCTTAAAATTAATTCAATAAGCCTTAAACTGAGAGTTACCTGAGATAATCTAACGCTTTTTACATCGTAGCCATTTCTACTGCTAACAAAGCTAATGAAGAGAGATTGAAACGGCTGCAGAAGTCAGCGGACATGTATAGAGACTGCCTTGGACTAGAAATTAGAAAGATTCATGGTAAGTTTTTTGCTGTAACTGGTATATAGATGATTAGAAAAGGGGGTGTCTAGAGAAGAAAAGAATCTAAGAGGTATTTTCAGCTAAACTAGTAAAGACAAAGTGAGGTTTCTAGAAAATAGGCCATTAATAATCATCTAACTATAAGTATTGTTTCATTTATCTAGGATTCTAATGAAAGTAGTTTGACATGGTTGTCAAAACAACAACAACACACCATGCAACTATGTCTTGGTTTTCACTGGCATTTATATCATCTCCAGTTGCCTTAAGAATGGTGATTTGTGAATGCTGGTGTAATTACTCCTTCTATTAATGTAGTATGATTTATTCTATCTTTTATCAATTGGACTGCTATGAGCAATTGAATTGTTTTTCTAGCTTTAGAAATAGTGCATATACTTTGTCACTTGGGAGGATCCTTTCTCAGAGGGGATTTACTCTGTTAAAAAGCACATGAATATTTTTATAGCTATTATATACATATATGTTAATTGGTTATAGTGGGTAGTATTTGGGGGCTTCCCAAGATCACCATCAGGCTTGATGAGTCACTGAGGGGACTCAGTGTATGTACTGACCTTCCATAATTCATGGGGAATATATTTTAAGACATGTAGTGGATGCCGAACTAGTTAGTTGTGAATCCTATGTATATTTCCTATGCGTGTGCATATCTAAGATAGCTAAGTTTTTATATTTTATGTCTTTATTGCATTTTTGAGGTTATTTGTTGTGTGTGTACATGTGTGCCATTTGTGTGAGTGCGTGTGTGCTATTGCACTCTGGCAGTCAGAGAACAGCGCGGCAGAATCAGTTCTTCCTGGGTTCTGGGCATTGAATTCAGGTCACCAGGCTTAGTGGCAAGTGCCCTTCCCTGCTGAGCCGTCTCCACACCATCCTTCCCCCTTAGCTGTTTATTGATTGTTATTGTGTGTTTATGATGGCAGGAAGGGCTCAGTGTGTGTTTGGAACCAAGTAGCACTCTTTATCATAAACTGGTATATGTAAAGTGTTTCCCTGACCTGTGAAAGCTGGTCAAGCAGATCAGTTGACCAGAGGAATGGATAACAACAGCCTACTGTCTTTAAGAAGAGAGGATCAGACGTGAAGGAAATAAAAGGCTGAAAACTGCTGTCCACTGCAGAATGATACATTGTTTGGTGGCCTGGCAGGGGAGGCACCAACTCACAAATGATCACAAAAGTACTCTTTGCTTATTGGAGACTCTAAGAGAAGTGCCCTCTTCTGTGTACTCGGGAAGAGAAAACCCCAAATTAAACCCTTCGTTTTGTTTAACTGAGTGTATTACCAAATCTTCCCTTGGCATGCACATCCTTCCCAGTACTATTAACAGTCTAAATCTGGTGTACTGACAGTTACTTCATTTTGAAGTTGCATGTAAGATAAGTCTTTCCTAAGTTTCTGAAGATTCCTTTTATAACTAAGAATTTTAAATAAGATTGCTTAACTTTTTATGCTATAGAAGAACTAAAATGTATGTGAATTTATATGTTGTGGCAGCCAGTAATTTACTTCTTTGGCAGCATTTCAGGGTTTTTTGTTTTGTTTTGGTTTGGTTTTTTTGATCATAAAATAACTAGAAAAATATAAAATGAATTCATTTAACATTATGGGTTTTTATTGTAGTAAGATACATATAATGTAAAACTAAGCTGTTTTAACCATCTATAATTCATACATTAATTACATCTAAAGTGTTGTATGACCATCACCACCCGCTATGGATTTCTATATTTTTTATCATCCCAAACATAAATTTTTTAAAAGCTCTCAGTAACCTTTATTTTTTTTTGTTTCTGGGAATTTATCTTATCTGTTCTAGCTATTTTATAGAGTTGAATCGTGCAGTATTTGTTCTTCTGCCTCTTAGCATTGTAGTTCCAAGGTTTGTCCATACTGTAGTTGTGTATGAGAAGTTCATTCCTTTTTATGTCTGGGCAGTGTGTGTGTGTGTGTATCCACCGAGAGCCTTGGCATTCTAAGTATTCTCATATTAAATGGTTTACTCTCTTTCTTCAGGTGATAAACTGCAGTTTATATTCACTAGTATTGACCCCAAGAATCCCGAGAGCCCATATATGTTTTCCCTGAGCCTAAATGAAGCTAGGGATTATGAAGGTATGTCTTCCTGTCTCTTACTTGTGTTTAGGATCACTGCCCTCACTGTCATTTGACTCATAATATTATAAAATAAGAAAAGTAGTGTTTGCACATGCTGTTTCCTTTTCAGCGTTTCTTCTTGAGGTACTGTTCTCTAAAGGGTGTGAGAGTAGTTTGGCCATGTAGATTTATTTAGGGGCCCTAAAAAGTAACACCTCTCCAGAATGACACAGTGTCATGGGGACTGAAAACTCTTGAGACCAAAGTTCATTGTATTTCATATGTAAATTTGATGACCTTTGCAGAGAACTTTAACACTGTGAGTGGTAGTATGAATAGTTTAGTCATTGTCACTTTGTGTAAAATAATCAAAATGTGGTAATTTACTTTTCTCAAAATGTTTTTAAAGGCTGTTTCATCCTGAAAAGTCCCACACATTCACAGTGTGGGTTAGTTACTGGTTCTGCAGCAGGTCAGAGAGCCTTTAATTCATAGGGAATGTATGTGATTGCTAACAATGTGAACACTAAGCAGGTATAAGTATGTTTGTACCTTTTTAATTCTTCTAGTCCTTTATATTAATACACTTTAATTTGTTGGCATTCATAAAAATGATTCTCACCTGTGATATCATTTTACAGCTTGTATAACTGGCAGATAGATAGTACCCAGGGTGCTACTTGGCTCTGAGGCCCTGGTGATTCACTGTCATCCTATAGGATTCAGATTTTGAGAATCATCATTCACAAATTATTTGAGGATTTTCTCTTTAGTAATTGTCTTTTAATCAAATGAGTACCAACTGTCAAAGAACAAACCCCAAAAACCTGTTCCCTAGTTTCCAATTTTCTCTAAGTTGTGTATTAGTACATAGTCTGTTGGTGATGGTTAGTGTGAATTGTACATCTGACAGAGTCTAGAGTTACCCGCCTGCTGTGAGTCATTATCGTGACTGTGTTAACTGAGGCAGGAGGACCCTATGGTAAGTGATGCCATTTCCTGGCTGGGAACCTGAGCTGGAGAAATAGAGAAAGGGAGCTGAGCATGTGTGCATTGCTCTCCACTTCCTGATCGCCAGGAGACCAGCTGCTTCCAGCTTCTGCTGCCTTGACTTCCCCATGCTTGATTGACCTTTGAACTGAGGGCTGGAATAAGGCCTCTCTCTTGTAAGTTGCATTTGTCAGGTATCATATCCATAGTAAAGAAAACTTAAAGACACTCAGAATGTTTGATAGTGTATTAAAATGATACTCACAGAATACATTTTGAACTAAGTACTCTATTTCTCAGTTGTGGTCCTATCCAAGCAAACTCTACCAAAGCCAGAAAGCTAATGTGGTCAAGTTCTTCCTCCTGAACAAAGGAGATGATTGATGTCGAAAGACGGGATCATTCCTTGGCAACTCTCACTGGAGATTTGCTCTGTTCTACCAGTGTGTGCAGCTGACATGAGGGTCATTGTAACTTGTGACTTTTGTCTCTTTTAATTAGTGGACTCTAACTACCACTCTTGGAACAGTAACCATGTTTCCTTCTGACTTCCATTGTACTTGTAAAAGTCTTGGATATTTCTTTCAAAAATCATAAATTACTAAAAATTGGCATTGAGGCTGGATGTGTTTGCTCTTGCCTTCAGTCCCAGCACTTAAGAGGCAGAAGCGGATGGATCTCTGTGAGTTTATGGTCTACGTAGAATTCCAGGCCAACCACACCTATATAGTGAGATCCTGTCTCCAAAAAAGAAAGGAAAAAGAAAAAAAGGATTGTCATTGAAAATTGTGCTTTTTTACATATTGTGGCAAGAAACTTAGAAGTCAGACTACAGTTTTACACAGAAAATAACTTCTAATAGTTAAAATATATATATGAAAGACAGTGGAAAGAGCACTCAGTGTCACTCACTGCTCAGTCTCTTGGATTCCATGCTTAGATTTAAGGTGGGGCTGTAGTACTAACAGTTTGAGTACTTAGGGATTAAGCAAAGAAAAGGGCTAAAAGATAACTATAAAATTCAAGTGTATTAGTTTATGCTCAGAGCATTTCAGTAAAGTGTAATTGTCGCTCAGAGCAGCTTAAAGCCTATGTTGGAAACACTTCTGCACACGTACAGAGAGCCCTCATTTAAAGCATCTTCTCTTTTCTTCCAGTGTCCGACTGCTCGCCTCATCTTGAGTGCCTAGCAGAATTTCAGGAGAAAGTCAGGAAGACCAACAATTTTTCAGCGTTTCTTGCTAATGTTCGGAAAGCTTTTATAGCTACGGTTTATAACTGATGTAGAAATAATGGGTGACAGTTTGTTCTACTTTGTTATTGTATATATCCTAAAATAATTTTCACCTCTTGCCCCTCTGTGGTTCTTCAGTGTTTTTGTGTGGTATGAAGGAAACTAGAGTACATCATTCCAAAACATGCCCCTTTGGCATAACACTTTTGAGCTAAAAACAGTTAAACAGCAACAGAGTTGGAAAACTGCTGTGCTCTATTTTCCTAAACACAGGACCTAAAATGATAAAGGTGCCTGGCCTCATACCCACAAAGAAAGATGGAAGTTAACTGCTAAAGAGAGCTCTTACTACTTCAGACATGACACCGGAAATGGACAAGCTTGCTTCATTAACTTATTCCCATAAATTTAGTCTCCATAATTCCCCATCTGTGGAAGACAAAAGCCAAACCTGCCGTCTGTCTGTCACTTCTATAAAATCCAACTGTTCTCTGTTGAAGATGCTGTGTAAACGTGAGTTCTAAGCCTGTTTGGAGTTTTTTGTTTGGGTTCTCCTGTCCAGTGTGCATGCACATGTTAATAAACTTGATCAGTTTTCTCTTGTGAACCTCTTTGTAACCATCTCTTCAGTATGAATATATGAGGACCGAAGGGAAATGGTTTCCTCCTTCACAGGTGTGTGTCTGTAATTATTTTCATTAAAATCTTAGAGGGAAATTGATAAAGTAAAACATGCCCTTTAAAAACTAAAGCAAAAACTGATGAGATAGCTTGGGTACAAGTACCTGCCTCCAAGCCTGATGACACAGGTTTAATCCCCATGACTCACATATTAGGAGGGAGCTGACCCCCCAAAATTGTTACTTCTGTCTGTGTCATGGCATGTGTGCCTGCATGCATGCACACAACTTAAAAAATTTTAAATGAGCCGGGCGGTGGTGGCGCACGCCTTTAATCCCAGCACTCGGGAGGCAGAGCCAGGCGGATCTCTGTGAGTTCGAGGCCAGCCTGGTCTACCAAGTGAGTTCCAGGAAAGGCGCAAAGCTACACAGAGAAACCCTGTCTCGAAAAACCAAAAAAAAAAAAAAAAAAAAAAAAAAAAAAAAAAAAAAAAAAAAAATTAAATGAAATATATATCCGTAGAATTCATTAATCTTTGTTAAGTTAAACACAGTAAGAGGTTAACAACAATAACTACATTTTGGTCCTTTAGAAGGATAAAAACAGTACATTACATAATTATAAAAGGAGATTTGCTTGGTTGACTTACATGATTAGAGATGGAGTAGTCCATCAAGAGCTGTGTGTATACCGGAAATGCCAAGAACTCAGTGGCTCCTCAATCCATGAAACTTGAAACCCCAGAGAAAGGGAGACCAGTGACATAGCAGTCTAAGGCTGAAGGCTGGGGAACTAGAGTCACTGATGTGAGTCTCCGTTGAGAGGTTACGGTCCTTGGGCTGTGACAGCAGTAGCATTAGATGCACTAAGCAACTCCCCATGTATTAAGGCTGGCCAAGGTGACCTAGGGTCCCAAAGGCATGTACAGGAGTCAGAGACAGCCCCTGTTCCCACTGTTAGGAGTCCCATAAGAAGACCAAGCTATACAACTGTAACATATATGCAGATTATTTAGGTCAGTCCCATACAGGCTCCCTGGATGTTGGTTCAGACTCTGAGCTCCTGTGAGCTCAGGTTAGTTGATTCTGTGGGTTTTCTTGTGGTGTCCTTGACCCCTCTGGTTCCTACAACCCTTCCTCTCCCTCTTCTGCATCTGTTTCCATCGGTTGCTGGATGAATCCTCTCTGATGACAATTGGCCTAGGTACCAATCTGGCCACACGAGATGGCCAGTTCAGGCTGTGCATCTGCTATTCCTAGGAGTCTTAGCTGGGGTCATCTTGGGAGATTTCCCTAGCATCAGGTTTTTTCCTGACCTCAAAATGCCCCCCCTTTCCAGTAGTCTCATTCAGTACTCTTCCCCCTTCATCCTATCCAACCTGATTCCTCAAGTTCACAGCCCTACCTGCCCCAAGTCCACTCATGAAATCTCTTCTATTTCCTTTTTCCAGAGAGATCCAGGCATCCCCCATCATGAACCCTCCTTGTTACCTAGTCTTTCTGGGTCTGGATTATAGCACAGTTATCCTTTTATTTATATATACCATGTTTGTCTTTCTCAGTCTGGGTTACCTCACTCAGGATGATTTTTTTTTTAGTTCCATCCCTTTGCCTGCAAATTTCATGATGTCATTATTTTTTAACAGCTGAGTAATGCTCTATTGTGTAAATGTACCACATTTCCTTTATCCATTCCTCAGTTGAGGAACATCTAGGTTGTTTCCAGGCTCTGGCTATTACAAATAAAACTGCTGTGAACATAACTTTGAGCAAGTGTCCTTGTGGTATGCTTGAGCATCCTTTGGGTATATGCCCAAGAGTGGTATAGCTGGGTCTTATGGTAGATTGATTCCCAGTTTTCTGAGGAAGTGCCACACTGATTTACAAGTTTGCACTCCCACCAGCAATGGAGGAGTATTCTCCTTGCTCCCCATCCTCGCCCCTATTCTGACAGTCTTAAGATGGAATCTCAGAGTCATTTTGATTTGCATTTCTCTGATGGCTAAGAATGTTAAACATCTCCTTAAGTGTTTTTCTTCCATTGGAAATTCTTCTGTTGAGAATTCTGTTTAGATCTGTACGCCATTTTTTAGTTGAATTATTTGGTTGGTTGATGTCTGGTTTCTTGAGTTCTTTTATGTATTTTAGAAATCAGCCCTCTAATTTCCAAAATATATGAAACCTCAGAGCCAACCCTGAGTGACACACCTCCATCAAGGCCATGCCACCTAATCCTTCCTCAGTAGTCTACCAACTGGTAAGCAAACATTCAAATCTACAAGCCTGTGGGGACCATTCTCATTCAAGCCAGCACGGGCGGGAAAATTAGTGTTCTCTGAACAGAAAAAAGCTTAGGTATTTGGCATAACAAATATCAGTTGACTACAAAGTAAGTGAATACTTTTTATAGCAATTGCTATGAGGCCAATATTTCTAAGCCCTTCCTGTACATCTGCTCATTAGTATTCTCTCAACTTGTGAAATAGATACCATTAATAACTGTATTCTGCAGATAAGAAATCAAATGTAACATTTACATAGCTTTAAGCACACAGCTCTTAAGTATTAGAACGGGGATTCAAACTCAGGTGACACCCGAATCTGCAAGCTGTGCTTGGACTGCACCACCTGGTTTATGTGACCACAAAGTTGTCAACAGAGGCAAACAAATTTGGACTTACAATTCAGCTTTTGTGTTTCTGTAGCTCTATAACAGTTCAGAAAATGAGGAGCGCTGGGTGGTGGTGGCACACACTTTTAATGCCAGCAGTTGGGAGGCAGAGGCAGGCAGATCTCTTAGTTTGAGGCCAGCCTGGGTACACAACAAGTTCCTGGAGAGCCTGGGCTAGGCAAAGAAACCTTGTCTCGAAAAACCAAACCCAACCAAACAACAAAAACAGAGTAAACTGGTGAATATGTCTAGATTCTTTGGAAATAGTATTTAAATGGTAAAGCTGCTGGCTTCAGAACCTGGGTGGCTGAGAAGTCTCCACGCTATCAAATGAGAAGCGTCCACTCGGGGCTCTGCAGAGAATGAAGATGTGATACAAAACATCCCCGCCCTCTGCTGTCTATGTCTATGTCTATGCTCAGACTCTGGTCTGAGTCTGAGTACGCCTTCTTGTCCCTCTCCCCCTCTGACTTGTACGTTCCTTCTACATGAATTGCAGAAAGACAGGAGGGCGTGCTGTTTTGATCCAGTGCGCTCTTATTCTTCTCATCAAGCCTGTTATCCCCCTAGATCACCAAGGTACAGAGAAGGAGTGAGTTCATGTTGGTGAAGAATATAACTAAGCTGCCTTAAGTTATTAGTTAAAGGCTTGTAATCCTGTACAATAAAATGCACTCCAAACTGAGTATGACATCATTTTTTGATGGATCATAAAGCATTTTAAGTGATTAAAATTCCTTTTGCCATTATGAATATTAATTATGTATCATGGAAAATGCGAGAAAGAAACAAATTGCTGTATCTTTGTGTTTGGTGACATGATATACACATCAGCTTTTGCTCTGTTAATAAGGAAAGCAAATGAAATAAAACCTAGATGATCAGCAAAGAGCTGGCTCTGGTTTCTGTGGCCTCTATTTCAGGTTATTAGCAGTACTAAAAACTGCTGACATATGAGATGTGCATATATTCCACTGCTTAGTGGAATATAATTAATAAAAGCCTATTTCATAGTTTAAGAGCATTAATATTAAAAATATTGTATTCTATGCAAAAGGCTTGAATGTATTATTAATTTTCACCCAATGCACTTTTAACTTCATCCTAAATCTAAGTCCACCCAATCTTGTCTAACTGGAAATTCCTGCCCTGTTAAAAGTATATTGAAATAGATCTACCCTAGCAAACTATATTTGCATTTTATTTAGTTTACAGCTACAGTATTTGGAAGGAGCAGCTTGAACCCAGACTCCTGCACAAGCTCTTTACAGTATTTCCTTGAAACTTACACGTGTTTCATCTGTCACATTCTGTAACCATGACATGAAACTCAGATCACCAGATTTAAAACGAGAAGTTGTGACATTAGATCGGAGCACCTATCTTTCCTGCTACACATCGATGAGGAAGCTGAGCCCAGAGAGGTATGGGACCCGACCAGTGAGGTACCATGAAAAAAGAAACTGAGCTTGGAACTTGGTCTCTTCACTCTGGGTTCCACATCACTCTACCCTTTATCAGGCTGTCTGCAGGACACTCTTGAAAAAGCCAGAGGAAAGGGAGTATACTAAGGTGGGTGGGGGGACTTAAAAAAATTACATATCCCAGATGCAATAATGTTTTTCAGCAGCATCCTCAAACAAGGAAACTATTCGCATTCTCACAAAACAGTTCATATATGAAGAAAGGTCCCTTTCTGAAAATTTCTTCCCAAACCACCATTATCTCACTTCCTATGTACGAAACAGTCTAGCCTGAAGTCATTTGCTAGTCATTTTCTACACATTTTTTTTTTTTTTTTTTTTTTTTTTAAAGCTCAGTCGAGTGAAGCAGTATACAAAAGGAAGTAAATTCAAACTCTGTTCGTTGTCTGGTGGCCTGCCAACTCTCTAAGTGCTGAGAGCTGTCACTAACGTGCCATTCAGGATGAGACGTTTGGACAGTTTCTTCTCTTCTCAGTATACCATCAGAAATGCTAAATACAAGGGGACAGGAAAGGACTGAATACAGGGAATGGACATGAGTTGGGACACCAGACATAAAGCTGATCATTCACTCGCCTCTGTCACGGGCTTTTTGTTTGGGGAGGTGGATAAGTGTATGAAGCCTTCTGATAGTGAAAGTGTAAAATGTAGCACGAAGCTTCACCACCCCCGTTCTGAATGCCTAGTCTAGCTGTTGAGTTGTGTAGACTTTGGGTCTGGTTAATTTGGTGTTACGTTATTATTTAGTTGCCAAGTTTTTTGAATAATAAGGTTTATTTTAAAAAACCAACTAATGAACAACAGTTTGGGACTGCTTTCCTAGGTTTTATGTTCTGTTTCATATAATAAATTTTACTTGAATTCCTTGAGGTTTGCTTTCTGTATCAAATATTGTTGTGTTAGTTATGTGCTAGATAGGAATGTAATAATACATTTACCATTGACATTCCCCAATTTGAAAATTTCCCTTAGAAAGATGGTGAATTAAAGAAAAAAGGAGGCCACAGGAAAATAATGAGGATTTTAATGGATGCTTTAAAAGGATATTCTACTTGGCAGAGAAGTAAGATGTGTGGGTATCTCCATCGGCATCATGATTCTCATTCACTGGAGTGTGTGATCTCCACTTTCTGCAAGCTGCTGCTATAACATGTCCATTATGCACTGCCACCCTTGGGGGAGTTTGCTTTCATTCTCAAGCTTTTCTTATTAAAGGACATTTGAGAAAGCTGCATGAATGTCCCTTTTGGGCTTGTAATCTCAGAACTTGGGAGGTGGAGGCAGAGGCAGGCAGATCTCTACAAGTTCAAGGCCAGCCTGGTCTGCGTAGTGAGTTCCAGATAGACCAGGGCTACATAGTGAGATCCTGTTTCAAAACACACACACACACACACACACACACACACACACACACACACACACACACACACACACACACCTGCTACTGCCACCGCCGCAACACACCAAACAACAGCAAAAGTTCCATTTTGACAGGAAATGTTGAGTCCCACTTTCTACTCCAACTAAGTTCTTACTGGTATTAAAGTTCCTTTCAGTAGGAAGCCGCTTAGGGTGTTCCTTCCACAATGACCTAGTTTCCCAATTGGTGAAAGAGGTTTCCATATAGGAAAGGAGGTGTGAAATTTCACACACCACCTCTTCCTTGCTCTTCCTTTTTGTTTTTCCTCAGATCCCAAGCCATCTTAGGCTTGCATTTGACCACACTCTAAGAGCTGGTGGTGGTGGGTGGGGCCTGAGAAGTCACTACCTCAGAAGGTCATGGGCTCTGGTTGAAATTTCATTCTGCCCTAAGAGTCTAGACTTTCTGTCTCACCCCCAACCCGGTGGACTTTGGGGCCCATGTTTATCATTGTATTCTGCTTGTCTGTCACTACTAGTTTTGGCTTTGGTCTGTATTCTTTCTTATTTCCCAGGCTTTGCTTGACCCCTCACAGGCCTGCTGTGTCTTGTTGCCACCCAAAACTAAAGAAAAAGAGAAACCTAAATCTTCGTTATTGTGTGCTTCCAGGTAATGACATGACCGGGCAAGTGGCTGAAGTCACTCTGGATAACCATCTCCATTTTGTCATGGGTGGATCATCTCTAGGGTTTTAGATTTTAGGAATTCTAGGAACCCATACACTTCTGTGCTTCATTCAATCCAACTGTCTTTTATTTGACTGTTTCAAGCTAAAAGCCCTGAGTACCAAGCACTGTAACATGCAGGTAGGTCTCTACCACCCACAGCATAAGAAAAACTTGCTGTGGGATGTTCTGTATGGCAAATGTGTTGCTGATTAGTCAATAAATAAAACACTGATTGGCCATTGGCTAGGCAGGAAGTGTAGGCGGGACAAGGAGGAGAATAAAGCTGGGAAGTGGAAGGCTGAGTCAGAGAGACACTGCTAGCCGCCATGATGACAAACAGCATGTGAAGATGCTGGTAAGCCACAAGCCATGTGGCAAGATATAGATTTATAGAAATGGATTAATTTAAGCTGTAAGAACAGTTAGCAAGAAGCCTGCCATGGCCATACAGTTTGTAACCAATATAAGTCTCTGTGTTTACTTGGTCGGGTCTGAGCGGCTATGGGACTGGCAGGTGAGAGAGATTTGCCTTGACCGTGGGCCAGGCAGGAAAACTCTACCTACAAATGGCGTCCAACGTGGTGGCAAGAGTTTCCACCTAAAAACTGAGAAAAAAGGTTCTAAAACGGAGCTAAAAACAGTTCCTAATTGTCTCTCTCAAATGAGCGGCAGCTGCCCGTTTGAGCTACTGGTGGGTTCCTAGCGTGCGCACTCGACCTGCCGCCTTATGGTGGGAATGAGGCCTCTGCAAGTGGCACATTAAGTTGCATGGTGGATTTAGACTTTGCTAGTACAAAACAAAAAAAAGAGGTTTTTTAGGCTAAACACTGCTTGGATAAAAGCATAGACCCACAATAGCTCCCAGAGCTGGAGGTAAACTACCACCGCCATGTTGGGAAGCTGAGGTGGGCGGAGCCAGCAGTCACAGCTGCTGCAGTTTAAAGCAATAGATTTCACAATAAGACAGATTCAGATGTAATAGTTTACAATGTGTGTAAAATATACGTAGGCTTGAAAGAGACAAAAAAGGTGATATATACAGCTAAATAAACAAATACATAGTTTTAAAAAATAAAGTCTTTTAAGAGACAGTAAAATTAATATAAAATATAAGCCATGTGAAGATGAATATTACACAGAGAATCTGGATTGTGTTGTCTTTGGGATTTTTTTTTTTTTTTTTTTTTTTTTTTTTTTGGTTTTTTCAAGACAGGGTTTCTCTGTGTAGCTTTGCGCCTTTCCTGGAACTCACTTGGTAGCCCACGCTGGCCTCGAACTCACAGAGATCCGCCTGCCTCTGCCTCCCGAGTGCTGGGATTAAAGGCGTGCGCCACCACCGCCCGGCGTCTTTGGGATTTTTAACTGCAGAAAAACATTTGATCGTAAAAGATGTTGAGTTAAACCAAAATGTATATTTTAAACATACCTTGACTTCAAAATTTGGATATAAGGATATGTTGCTTTGGAAAGGAGACTCTGCTTTTGTTTCCACAGAAAGCCAGAGGCTATGGATTTGTTCCAGATTAAGATACATCAGGTTTGACCAGCCAAGACTCCCTGAAAGGTCTCCAATGACATCATGGCCCAGATGATTCAACATCCAGAACTGTTTCAAGGCAACTGACTCAGACGATACACCCTCATGGACTACTCCATAATCCTAAAATTTTCTTTGTGTCCCCATAAGATACAGCGCCCCCCTCCAGCAGGAAGTAGTAAGAGAAGCTACGCCCAAATTCCAAAATTATATGTAATTTTACTTTGTTAAGGTTAAAACCTTCCTTTTTGGAAAAAAAAGGGGGAAGTGCTGTGGGATGTTCTGTATGGCAAATGTGTTGCTGATTGGTCAATAAATAAAACACTGATATTGGTCATTGGCTAGGCAGGAAGTGTAGGCAGGACAAGGAGGAGAATAAAGCTGGGAAGTGGAAGGCTGAGTCAGAGAGACACTGCCAGTTGCCATGATGACAAACAGCATGTGAAGATGCCGGTAAGCCACGAGCCACGTGGCAAGGTATAGATTAATAGAAATGGATTAATTTAAGCTGCAAGAACAGTTAGCAAGAAGCCTGCCACGGCCATACAGTTTGTAACCAATATAAGTCTCTGTGTTTACTTGGTCGGGTCTGAGCGGCTGTGGGACTGGCAGGTGAGAGAGATTTACCTTGACCGTGGGCCAGGCAGGAAAACTCTAGCTACAAAAACTTGCAAAGCTGATAACTCGTCCTCTTTATTTGCACCACATCGTTTACAGACCATGTAAGGCCACCCACGTGTCCGGTCTTGTTTTATGACTTCGTAGCTGTGTTTCCGGCCTTTGAAGGCAGCTCCTCCACATAGGCGGCAGGAAAATGGCCTTTTTTCCCTCTCAAAGAGCCGAACCACCATCCTTCTTCTTTCTTCTCATGTAGGGTCACGATGTCTCCTGCGAGGACACACACTGAGTCAGGCAGATGGTTCTGTGCAACTGGAGCACAGGCCAAGCAAAAGTTGGTGAGGGTTTGGAAGAACATTCTGTATCCAAGAAACTACTTGGTAACCTCACTTGCTGCATTTGATTCGGATGAAGCAAAATTTACTGAGCGCTTTGCATAAAACAGCCGCAATACAGAGAATGCTAAAGAGAGTGAAATAACGAACCACGGAGCTAGGCTACGGGCTTGCATAAAATCAGAATCATGGTGTAATTGTGCAGCTGGCTCACTGCGTGTCCAGTGGGTGGGTTGTCAGCAAACTCTTGCTTGCTGTCCGTACCTGAAGGGTTATCCATGCTGGTGGCCATGAGAGTTTAGACTCTTGGAAGTGTGTCTCTACTAAGAGTTTTTTCTTACAATTGCACTAACTCCTGTGCCACATTCAGATTCAGTCTTTTGGCAGTTTCACATAGGAATCTAGCCTCCATTCATGAATTTAGATAACTTTAGTAATAACACATCAATTTGGAGATAATAATTTTAAGGATCTGAATAAAGCTGAATTCCTAATACAGTTCTTATCTAATTTTCTATTGCCTTAAAAAAGAAAGTCACCATGATCTTACTAACTGTAAACTTGATGGGTGGCCCAGCATATAGTTAAGCCTCATGCATATTATTGTCTGTATATGAAGTGTCCCCTAAAGGCCTGTGTGTTGAAGGTTTAGTCCCCAGACAGTGGTGTTGTTGAGAGATAATTGGATAAAGAGGGTGCTGACTTCATTAATGCATTCATATTGAATGGCCTATTCAAAGATCTGTTTGCAGGAAGGTCACTGAAGGGCTTGCATTGGAAGGTTATCTCGTTTCCTGGCCCCTTCCCCTCCTTCCTCCCTCCCTCCATCTCACTCCCCACCCCTGGCTATCAAGGATTGAGTGGCTTTTCTCCCTTGTTGCAACCTTCAACTGTAAAATTCTCGGCCTCTCCACAGACCTGAAAGACAACCAACCAAACCGAAACCTGGAAAGCCAGGAGCCAAAAACCCACTTCTCTTCATCCCCTGTTTTCCTCAAGTATTTCATCAGAGCATTGAAGGCTAGCAGGCTGCTTCCCATCCATCAAAGTAGAAACCCTGCTTCAGGACCCAGCAGCTGCTTTTCTTCAGCAGTATTCCCAGGTTTGTCTTGGTGACTCTTCCTGCTCAGTCCCGTTCTGAAGGGACCCGTAATGGTTACCGTCCGTTCTTCCCTGTCATGTTTATCTCTTCCTTCCCACGGGAGCTCATTCTGATTTTGAATTCTCTCTCTCTCTCTCTCTCTCTCTCTCTCTCTCTCTCTCTCTCTCTCTCTCAAGAATTTACTCGAGTCAGTAGGTTATTTGATGAAATTTAAATAAATTCCAACAAACAACTTGCAATATTATTGTCAGCTTTCCCCCAGCCTCTGGTGCTATGTTTCGTTGAAAAGAACTACTTAGAATATAAAATATAGGTGGACTTTGCAACCAATAGAGAACTGATGCAAACAAGATAATTGCTTAATGTAAACTTTGAAAGTTAAACTCCGGACCCTTGATTTCTTGAGTAGCCGCTGAGAAATGTATTTTTTTTTTTACTCATAGAAAAGGAAAAGTAATTGCCAGGAGAAATCTGACTAGCCTGTGGTAATTAGAGGGTTCCCTCTAAGCAAGCATGCCAGATTCTCGGTGCCCCGTTCTTCTCAGCTATAAAACAGGATTCACAATATCTGTCTCAGAGGGTTCTGCAAATGATAATTGAATGATATGCTTGCAGCAGTGTCTGACACAGAAACATGGAATGAGGCTAGGTGTGGTGGTGCACACCTTTAATCCCAGCCCTTGGGAGGCAGAGGCCGCAGATCTCTGTGAGTTTGAGGTCAGCCTGGTCTACAAAGAGAGTTAGTTCCTTGACAGCCAGGGCTGTTACACAGAACAACCCTGTCTTGAACAACCAAAATATAAAAGGAAAGAAAAAAGAGACAAGGAATGACTATTAGCTGTCATCTTGATTTTCTATTGTTCTGGAAGCCATGTCCTGGTCATGGATAATAAACTTTCTCTTATGGCATAATCCTTTTTCATGGGCACATTCCTAGGTCTGTGCCTTAGCTTGGACATCCATCTATAGAGACATGCAGAAAGTGGAGGCTGGACATTTGTACTTACTTAAGAACGTCAGTTTATACAATCCACCAGAAAACACTTCCCTGGGAAATATTCTGACACAAACAAAGGGGCCTGACCCTTTAGAGTGGCTCAAGGTTCTTTTCCAAGATATAGGGAAACAAACATTAATCTGTGCATCAATGGACTCAGATTCGAGAGCTTTCTGTCATACTAAGGGAGACATTACTTCATGTTTCTGCAACTCTACCATCTAAATAACAAGAAGGTGGGGCTATATCTCCAATTAATTCCCATTAGTGGCATTCTGCTCCAGTGTAGCAGTGTGGGTAAGGGCATGACTGAGTTCTGAGTTCAAATCCTGCACTGCTCCTGCTTGTGATTTTAGTCAAAGTACTGAACTTTCCTGTGTGTCATTCTTCTCAGCTATGAAACAGGAATAAATAGTCTGTCTCAGGGAGTCTGTGAATAATAACTGAATGATATGCTTTCAACAGTGCCTGACACATAGAAACATGGGATGACGGTTAGCTATCGTTACACGAGCCTTAGTTTAGTACACTTTATATTCCAAGAAGAATGACTGTAAGCCTCAGCCAGGAACAGCTTGCTGCTGTCCCAGTAAAACAAAATTGTATTCAAAGGAAGCATATCAACATGAAAACACAATTAAAATATTTGAGAATGAGTCTTACCTTTTTCTAAATTCAACTCATCATCTTGCCTGGCTTGGAAAGTATACAGGGCCTTGCAAAGATGGTTGCTGCCTTGGGACACACCAGACGCTGGAGTTGGGTATGAAATTGTAGTTACCGTGTGGACTCAACAGGCAAAACGGACACAATAAAAAATTCTTCATTTAACAATATGGTGCATAGTTTAAATTGTCTCTAAAATTTTATAATTTTATCTAATATTTATTCCTTGGTTCAGTAAGCATCTAAAATATACCCAGCATGTGTATAAACTATGCATATTATGTAACCAAGACCCAGACTGTAACACAGGAAATAATAATTCTGGAGAGGAAATTACTGTTATTATACTAATAACAACGATGGCAATTTAAAATTATTTGCTTTCCACGTGAACATAGTCGATGTCACTAGGTAATGAATGTGGTAGCTGCATTTTTCTTTTTGAAAACACAGCAGCTTTGCCATTCAGGTAGAGACGGGGAATATTTGGAGTGCATGTGTATATCATTATTTTTCTCTTTAAAACACAGCAGCTTTGCCATTCAGGTGGAGATGGGGAATATTTGGAGTGCTTGTGTATATCATCTCTTGTTGATTAGAGAACTGCTTCTCAAAAACTCACTGGTGACACTTGAGTAGATTGTGTGGATCTCAATGCCTTGGGTTTTGTTAAAACTCTTTTGTCCATTTTTAATAAAAAAAAAGGCTGGAGAGCTGAGATTAAGGTATGTAGCTGTGGGACAATGACATGTGTGTATGTATATATGTGTGGGCACGTGCATGCATAACTTCTCATGTTATAAAACGGTTTTCCCTGCTTGCATTCTTCATGATTCCTTTCTACCTTCTTTTCTACATTAGTACGCAAAACTACAGACTCCAACAAATTCATCACTCTCAACTGAGAGGTAAATTTCCTTTTAGTAAATATAGGTAAATGTGGCTTAGAAATCATATTTAAATATAGCAATGAACTTTACCCAGAGGACACAGTCTGCAATTATTTTGGGCGCTGGATTACCTGAAGGTGAAGCGCTAGGACTGTTCTGCCCGCCAGAAGGTGCCTTGCTCACAGCTTTCTCTAATCTCTTCGTCAAAAGAGGCCGGGATATTTTTACATAAGTGTGAGAGTGCTCCTGTGCAAGTAGTTTTTTATAAAAAGAAAAGTAATTTTAAACAACCGTGTTATAAATATAACATTGTTCTTTGTATGTCAATTCCTTGGTGTGTGTGTGTGTGTGTGTGTGTGTGTGTGTGTGTGTGTGTGTGTGTGTGTGTGTGTGTTTAATGGGGATGATGCATAAATAATCAAAATATTTCTAAGACCTTCTGTGTTTAAGTTTTTTTTATTCCAAAAGCAAAATATCTTCAGAATGAGATGATTACTCTGTTTCATAGCCTGCATTCCAATTTGGAATGGGCCATTCACAGCAATACCTCTAGAAATCCAAGTTTCATGGGCCTCCAGTAAAATGATTGAGACCATTTTAGAGCTTCTGACTCTCCTTAGAAAGAGTACTGTCCCTTGGTCACTGGATGTTTGTTATACTTCCCCCTTCTGAATGTAATGAAACTAGCTACAAGCTATAGCTGTCCACAAAACAATTCCCAGAGTGTAGCTCTGCACAGTCACCTGTGTGTGCGGTGGCCTTCAAAACTGTGCTCATACTATCCACCTTATATACTGTGTTAAACTGTGTACCATGGAGTACATTTACACTGTGCTAAGATGAACCTGATGCTTAGCATATGATCTCACAGTTTAGGTCTGTAGGAATACCAACATTTCAAGTTAGTAGAAATTTTTACAATAGCACATTGTAAAGCTAAAAGTAAGGTATGAAGAGAGAGGAGAATGCCTAAGTTTTTCACTTGAGTGATTTAGTCTCATTCCAAAGGATGTGTTTAGTTGGGTTTGGCTGTCAATGTGCTCAAGAGGGTAAAAGTAAGTTTATCATAATCACCTCAGTGAGAACCTGGGACACACATACAGCCCAGAAAGTCATGGTGGGCTTTCAGGCTTGACCTTCTTGTAAGCCCCTCCACCTGGCAAGCCCATTAAGATGTTCCAAGTGATCTCAGTGTTACCTTTTCTTTCCACTTGAAAATGCAGGCGCTGCAGGGATGGCTGGGTTTCGGCCTCTGCTCCAGGTCTGCTAACACGGATGACAGTTTGTAGGAGTTCGCTTGCAAAAGGTCCAGTTTCAAACTGTGCTGTGGACACATCATATGGCCATGTGAGGAAGTTTCAAGAGAATGAGGCACAGCTGAGTGAATAAAGGAATCTCAGGATACCTTTCAAAGGAGAGTTCTAGAAGCATACACACCCAGTTCATACGAATATACGTGAAAAACACTGAAAAGATAAGCCCCTTAACACAATGTAGAGGGAAAGACTTGGTGTGTCTTACTCAGTCTTTACTCCTGTAGCTAGGGCAAAGGAAACTAGTTAGATAAGTTTCTAGGTAGTCTGTGATGATGAACAACTTTGGACAATTTTTTCCCCCTGAGGATCAAGAAAAGAAATAAGTGTAATTACTCTCAGAATCATGAGGTAGAGTTTGAAAGAACCGAGTACGTCCCACCACAATATATGGGAGTTGTGTTTGTTTTTATTTAAAGAGGCACATCTTATATTGCCCAGCAGAGTTTTAGTAACACTGCTCCTCAAAACTGGAAACAACATTCCAGTAGTAATCTGGGGTATTTGAGCAGAAAGACAAGGAGTGACTTAAGTTCCTAGCCTCTTCCCGTTCTGCCTTTGACCTGGAACTAAAATATTCTAATTACTTCTTTTTAGGCGATGGTCAGTCAGGAGCAACCAAATTACAGAATAAACACTGGAAGGGCCTTCTGCCACCCCCTCCTTCTCTCTCTTTTCCATTACTCTGGCATAGCATTCCTAACTGTCATGGTCCAACTAGAAAGTGACTTTCTGAAGGAACGGCCTCTAAGCCTCGGCACAGTTTGCTTAGGAATGGGTTCGCCTAAGATGAAAGGCAAACTCCCCATTCCTCTGGTGTTAGGTCCCAGCTATGGCACATCTGAAAGCATCAGAGAAAGCACCAAGCTCTCTTAGGAGCAGCACTCTCCCAGAGTCTACAGATATCATCCACTCTGAATGCCTCTTTGCCAACGTTCTTGAATCAAATATGGCACTTCCAGGAGACCTGCAACAAGTCAAGCTTCCTCTCCGAGTACCGTCCCTGAATACTACGAAATACTACGACATCTGTCTACACCACCAGTGTCCCTCTCCCCCAAGGGGAAGCTTGTCTAAGGGAATTCTGTGGCATGTGGCGTCCACCACTCGAAGCTTCGAGCTTGCACACAGACATCACAAGCTCAGGGATTGACTCTTCTCTTCACTTCCATGTGAGTTAGGTTAGTTTGTGGGCAAATGATGCTAATGCATGTCTGATGCTGACCATGACAGCAAGACTCTGTTTGAAGACAACCGAAGACACTGGTGCCCTACATTTTATGACTTTATTTTGGTAAATGTCATTTGCATTGAATTCATTCATTGAACATTTTGTGCCACAACAACAAAAAAAAAAATGTCCTAGAGTGGGTTTTATGATTTTCTGTAAATTATACCCACATGTCATTGCAGCAGTATTTCATATCTCCGTTCCCAAGCAAACAGGTTTAGACCTTCCTTTTCACAGAAAGCGTTTGGGTCATTTCTGCATCAGCCTTCCCATTAAAGGAAATCTATCATATATGCATGTGTGTGCGTGTGCGTGTGCATGTGTGTGTGTACATGGCTGCATCTGCCGGCTTTCACCAAACCACTGCTGAAACTCCCAAGTTGGGTAGAATTGTTAGATATCTACTTCCTCAAGAGAGTTAGGTTAGGTAAGAAAGTTCTCCAGATTTCTGTGTCCTACAAGACATTACTAAAAATGTCTGCTCTCCCTGGATTCTTCTTGTATTAACAGGAGCCCACTTTTCACCACTCAAACCACAGCACCAGCCCTCTTCCAGCACCTTCCCACTCCCACCCAAATTCCTCCAAACATTTGCTTCTAAAATAGTTTCCTCAGAAGCCTTTGCCACACCTCCATGCCTTCCTCCTGATTATAGACCTATCTTTTTGTTTTTGAAGGACTCTGATGTCATCTGAAGGAAAAATGGAAAGTAGAATGGTATTAACAACTTTAGCTGCACCTCCATTCATGGTGAGGTAGCATCCCGATATGCCCAACGTTAGCTGAGAATTGATGTGATACATTCAACCCACCCGCTGAACAGCCCCACTTAGGTTGGTAGACCTAAGACGTGCTCAGAATTATTAGATACTGATATTAGCTTACCTTGGGCAAAATCACCCGGTACAAAGACCGTTTCATAACGGAGGGAGAATATTCCCTCATAATTTACTGGACATTATACTGAAAGTGAAAAACAAAACAGCTGTGTGTGTATACTATCCCACCACCATAAAAGACAAATAATCATCAAGTCAAGCAAGATGTCAATCAGATTTTGAGCTCCTCTGAGCACTGCGGTGGCATTTTCTGGATAACAACGCATCCTCAAAGAGCTCTATGGTATAGTATCCATATTCCCATTTTGCAGATGGGAACAGTAACATTCCAGGTTTCCATGACCAGCAGAACCAACTCCAAGGATCAGTTTCTGTGAATGGCAAGCCAATGATTTGGGGACTTCAGTCACTTGTCAGGGTCAAAGTGCCTATGGTTTCACTAAAGAATGCATCTATTTTGGAGACTTCTATTTAGAACACAATGGTGTCTCTGTTTTACAGAAAGGAAAGTAAACATTTCTAGGTGGTAGGAGTTTTCCACATCCCTCCAACAACCCGCGGAGGAGCTGGCTGTCTCAGCTCTCCCACTCAGTTGTTCTGATTCTGGAGGAAGGAGTGGCAAGCAGAACAAGTGGGTTGAAAAACAAATATTCTAAAAATAACCCTTTCATCAGGAAATGCACTCTGCAAATATTTACCTCGTCCATTAAAGCCTCTGCATCCTTCTGGCTTTTGGCATCAGAGAAGGAGGAGTTGCTGGAGAGTGCATTAAGCTTCTGTTCCAGGCCTGGAAACGAAACCACATTCTAGGTCACCTTTCACCCAGTCCCAGTGGGGCATGGGAGGGAACAGTCACCTTTAAAGAGATCCTGAAGGCTAGAAGAGATACATGTGGGACTTCCTACACGACCATGGGGGTGGGGGTGGAGGAGGGGCTTCTCTGTGTAGCCGTCACAGGGCTTTCTTTACTCAATGGATATGATAAGTGAACATACGGTTCATTTATTGCTGTCCTTATTGGATGAAATCTGAGGAATGCTGGTGCTTAAAGAATATGACTGGATTTTTCAAGACAAGATTTTGAGTTTCCTTTGGCCCATTTCAGTATTCCCCACGTTTACAGGATCCTGCTAGGTTCTTCCTCCTTGTTGGTTTTTTTTTTTTTACATCTGCAGTGTCTATCTTGGTTTCCCAGTTACATCAAAAGAAATCTTGTGTTTCATTCCAAGAAGCTGCATTATAAATGTGGGCTTGTTTTGTTGTGTGTCCTGTCTTGGAATTATTTCACATGCTAACTCCTCTGACTCCTGAGCGTGGGATTTAACATGAGTAATTGTCATAACATTTCAAATGTTAGAAAGAAGACAGAAATAAAATGCCCAAGTCATGTTTACATCACACAAGTCATCTCTCATCCTAGCCACTTTGAAAGAAATAAAATTGTGCATTTCTAAAGCATAGCAGTGAACTACTTAGATAGTTCTCACAAACGGACCGAAGTGTCTTTGCATACTTTTTTTGTTTTCTTTATTTTAGTTTTTGAGATGGGGGTCTCACTCTACGCCAGGCTGGCCTTCAAGTCACTATGGAACTCAATCTGGATTCCAACCCATAGCAGTCTTCCTCTCTCAGCTTCCTGAATGCAGAGATTACAGGTGTGCACCCACCCCTGACTCTAAATGTTTTATTAATGGTGTGTATATATGTGTGTGCATGTGTGTGTAAGACATGTGGACATGTGTGCCATAGAGCATACGTGGAAATCAGAGGACACCTTGGCACCCTTTCACCTTTACATGAGTTCCAGGGATCACCTCACATTGTCGTGTTTTCAAGGCAAGTGCCCTTACCCACTGAGCAATCCTACCAGCCCCACACCTGACTTTAAAAAACTTTTTGCTTTTATTCAACATACCTTAAATTTACTATGCAGTTCTTGAAAGAGAGGACCCCCACCCTACTCCAAAAAAGCAGATGAACCTTTATCTTTCCTTTATCCTGCATCTAAGGACATGGTCACAAGCCAGGAATGGTACAAGCTTGTATCCGGGTGCAGGAGGGGCAGAGACAGGAGACAGAAGTGAGGCCGGCCTGGTCTGCTCTGTGTCGTGAGTTCCAGGCCAGCCCTGGGTCTGTGGTATGAAAATCACATACCTTCTTTGTCTCTCGAGGCCTTCTCAATGTCTCTTTGCAGTCTCAACAATTTCGGTTTTATCAACAATTTCCGTCTCTCTTTATCCATTATGTTCTTTGGATCTTCTTCCTTTAGAAGGAAAAAGAAAGATATTTAATAACTTAAAAGAAAAAATGAGAGTCACTACTCCTAGTTTTTCTGAGACTCTCCCTCATTATATTTGACGGTTTTTACCTTACCAGAGGGGGTGAGATTGAAAAATGAAGATAATCTTTGGTTCACACATTGTTCCACCTGTTTTAGGCCTGATTAATAAGGTCGCATCCCGTTCACAACTCATCAGTACACAGCTGAGCATTTTATTTAATAAAACAAATTATTCCTGGAGGAAGAGATTTTCCATGGTGACCTCAGCATCTTGATAAATAACCTATTTGCAGGATACTTCACGTTTCACGACATCATTGATATTGATTCAAGCTCAAGTCTTCTAATCATCCACTGTAGGACTCTGTGCATGCCTCAGGTTAGGACTGCCTCAGGAGTGGAACAAGTGTTTGTTGAATGCTGTGTTGGCTTGTTAGCAGGACGACTAGAGCTAGAACGCATGCTCAGCCCCAAACAGTGCTCGACCCGTTAGTTCCCCAAACACACCATTAGGAGAACTGGCAACTCAAGGCCACATGTGTGCACCAATAGCACAGGCACTGAGGCCGTAGACTTACCTGGAAGTGAAGTGGAAGGAGGGCAAAGGGCGTTCTGCAGGAGAAATGGTGCAGAGAAAGGAAAGGGGGCCTCTCTGGAGAGTCTATCGGGAGCAATAAGTACAATTTGCTTGAGCAAAAATGGTGGAAGAGAACGTGGCCTGTGTCTGTTAGGCTAGGGGTTAGGGCTGAAGCTGCCAAGGTTTTGTGTTTTCGTTTTGCTTTGTTTTATTTTGAGACAGGATCTCACTATTTAGTTCGGTCTGTTGGGCTTGAACTTACAGCAATCCTCCTGCCTCAGCCTCTCAAGTGCTGGTATTACAGGCACGAGTCACAATACCGGGCGGTATGTGAGTTCTCATATGGATCACTTCGGGATCGGATGAAAAGAAAAGAAAGCGGGTGGGTCACGAGGTGGCTGAGCACCAACCCACAGAGGGAAGGGGGAGTTGTCAGGGGAGGGGAGAAAACTAGGCTTGTGGGTGCTGGGGAAGGGCAGGACTAAGAGCATGCAAAGCTATAATTCTTTGAACATGGAACTTACAGAACTTACAAATAGCTCCACACTGGTCACTGGCCCTCCACCTTAGGAGCTCAGATCATTCTCCTGTCTCACTTGTTCCTGTCTGAGTAAACGTCACAACACTGGAAAAAAGCCAGTGCATACTTACTGCTGATGACTGTGAAGTCAGATACTGGCATGCTGAGCTTTAAGGATATCATGACAGTCCTAGTCAGTCATTTGAGACAGATTTAGCTATACAGTTGAATTCTAGGACAGTCAAGTTTCTTAAAAATCGTAAGTTCCCATGAGTATGTCGATTAAAGATGAACCATCCTAACTCCTGATAATGCAATAGAACCCTAGAATTTCCCAGAATATCCTTAGTGTATTGACAAGTTAGGTGATAGAAGCATTTTCATTGCCCTTTGTAAGGAAACAACAGATGTGTTTCTCATCTACCGGCCCACCTGAGGCTAGAAGGGAAGAAGACCGCCCTCTTTCGTTCCTCTGGCCTCCCTTTCTGCTTTGAGTAGACAAGGCTGCCAGCAGCACCCTTCACCTTTACCAAGGTAGGGAAAAAAAAAAGACTCAATTAAAGAAACAACCGGCTACTTGTGTGGCTGTTGGGAGTGGGGGAAGGTTAATCTTGTCGGGATTCAGAACTCTTGTTCTCCCTTCTCCCTCCACCCCCTGTACTCTGAGTAGGGGTACTGACTGGTTCTTGGCCCTGGGTCAGCTGTATGTTTAATCTAGTCAGAGAGCATGAGTAGGCTGGTTCTATAGATCAGAGATGGGTAAAAGCTGGGAGGGAGGTTGGAAGCCTGAATAAGTCCCAGCAGACAACACAGGCAAGAGCAGAAGTCATTTTGACAGGTCGTTACTCATCAGCTTCTAGGTACAAGGTGTGTAGCTCAGTGTCGTATGCTTGACTACCATGTACAGGGAGGGCCCTGGGCTTATTTACTCCTCCAACCTCCAAAATGGAAAAGGAAAATTTAGGATCCTGGGGCCTGGAGTCCCACCTGCTTGTGAGGCCGAGGCATAAAGGCCAGCGGAGGCCAGTAGTAGCTTGGGGGAAAAACCGAGAAGTTAGGTTTCGCTCTTTGTTTGTTTGTTATAGATTGGCTAGCTCCTAGAGGACAAAGATTTACTCTGAGAAGCTGAGTGTGTAGCTCACACCTGTAATGCAAACACCCAAGAGGCTGAGGCCAAGGAACAGAAGCAAATGACTGGGCTCTGATGAGAGAAACTGATCCGTTTTCAGCAATAAAGATCATCCAGTAGCAGAATCCCCCAGATGGCCTAAGAACGGGTCTCAGGCAGTTTGGTCCTTGTTTGTCAAGGGTAGGGATCTTTAAAAAATGTCAGTGTTTCCCATGCCCAGACTTCTATCTCTTGTCCTTTGAGTAAGGGTTGCACTTGCTGATGTGGTGGTATTGTGTTCCCCGAAATATTGTGCACCCTAATAAACTTATTTGGGGTCAGAGACAGAATAGCCACAATATTAAACATAAAGGTTAGGCAGTGGTAGCACACGCCTTTAATCCTAGCATTCCAGAGGCAGAAATCCATCTGTTCAAGGATACAGCCAAGCATGGTGACTCATGTCTTTAATCCCAGAAAGCGAGCCTTTAATCCCAGGGAGTGGTGGTAGAAAGCAGAAAGGTATATAAGGCGTGAGGACCAGAAACTAGAAGCATTTGGCTGGTTAAGCATTTGGCTGGATAAGCTTTCAGGCTTCTAGCAGCACAGTTCAGCTGAGAGCCATTGGGATGAGGACACAGAAGCTTCCAGTCTGAGGAAACAAGATCAGCTGAGAAGTTGGCCAGGTGAGGTTAGCTGTGACTTGTTCTGGTTCTCTGATCTTCCAGTTCACCCCAATACCTGGCTCAGGTTTGATTTTATTAATAAGAACTTTTAAGATTTCTGCTACAGACTTCTAAGACACAGACCATGAATAGAGGTCACAGAGAACTGTGCTTCCTCTCTGAGTGCTCTGGCTTTGGCTTTCTTGGGTCACTCATCCAGAGGGAAGCAGGCTGCCATGTGTTGCCACGTGAGAGATGGAAAAAGTCACATTGCAAATATTAAATACACACACACACACACACACACACACACACACACACACACACACACACATGCACAAGCATGCAGATTCAGAAAGTGGAGACAGAAAGGGAGCTCTGAGAGGGGAGGAAGAGGTGGGGGAGTAAGAGAGAGTAGTGGACTACATGTGACATGAAAACTGGAGGAAAGACTGTCTTGGAGGAGGCAGGGGAATAGCAGGAGTGGGTGAGGAGGAAGAAGGTAAGGCCATGGGGGAAAAGACAAAGAAGAGCAAACTATAATGGCACACACACACACACACACACACACACACACACACACACACACACAGTCCTTCACCCTTGCCTTGTGAGGGATTTAGAGACCCCAGCTATGTGACACCTGGGTTTCTGACTCGTATAAATTGTGGGTTATCAAATGTTTAAGCCAGTAAATGGAGTCAGTTTACCATTTGTGTAGAAAACGAATACAACAGTCACTTATAGATCACTGAACACGCCCACCTGGGATTACTCTTACAAAAGACGGCCATGATTTACATGTCCCTCAAAGTTCATGAGATAGAAACAACCCCTCCTCACTGGGTGGTGGTGGCACACATCTTTAATCCTGGAGGCAGGGACAGGCTGATCTCTGAGTTCGAGGCCAGCCTGGTCTTCAGAGTGAGTTTCAGGACAGCCAGGGCTACACAGAGAAACCCTGTCCTGAAACACCCTGCCTCTGACTCTTTTGCCTGCTTGTGGGACCCTTTCCTCCCACTGAGTTGCCTCATCCAGCCTTGATATGAAGGTGTGTGCCTAAACTTATTACATTTTGTCATGTCATGTTCAGTTGATATCCCGAGGCCAGCCCCTTCCTTCTTCCTTCCTTCCTCCCTTCCTTCCTTCCTTCCTTCCTTCCTTCCTTCCTTCCTTCCTTCCTTCCTTCCTTTCTAGAATTCACTTTGTAGACCAGGTTGGCCTCGAACTCATAGAGATCCTCCTGCCTCTAGCTCCCAAGTACTGCGATTAAAGGCATGATTCACACCACCCCCACCTTGCCTGCTCCTTTTTTAAAGAGAAATGGAGGAGCAGTGGACCTAGGGGCGAGGGGAGGTGTGTGTGTCCAGGGGGACTGGGAGGGAGGGAGGGAAGGCTGCAATTGGGATCTATTGTATGAGAATAAAAAAAGAAAAAGAAAAAGAAAAAAAGAAGAGAAGCAAAAGAAAGAAAGAAAAGAAACAATCCCCCAGGCAGAAATACTGAGAAGATGACTTTCAGAGGAGATTAAAGATGAGGGCTCTCCCTCGTGAGTGGACTAATGTCATTGTCATGGGAATGAGTTTGTCACAGAAGTAAGTTCAACCCTTGCTCTCTTGCCCATGGGATGCCATTTTCCTGTCCTGTTCTGATGCATCAAAGAAGACCCTCGACAGACTCAGTCCTCCAGGACTTCCCAGCCGCCAGAACCGTAATCCAACTAAGTTTCTAATCTCTGTCAATTACCAAGTCTGTTGTATTCTGTTCGGGAAGCAGGCAAGACCCACTAAGACAAAGACCCAAACTAAAACTTGGCTAGCCTTCCAAGGGGATATCACTGCAAGAAGATCAAGAGTTCAAAGGTCAGCTTTGGGCTACAGGAGACTAGGGTGGGGATTAACATTGTTTTCAGCATGACTTCTCAATGGCCAAGGCGCCCAGTTAAGGTCGCTTCCTGCCACTCCATACTTACAAAGTAGTCAGTCAGTAGGAACTCAGATTTGTTTTCTGTGGACAGGATTGCGGTTTCTTCCATTAGAGTCTGGATGTCTTTCTCAACATCAACCTTGCTGATGGCACAGTGGATCTGTGTGTGGCTCTGCAAAGGAGAGCAGGTCGGTGAAGAACTGTTACCTGTCACCCTTACCATGCACACCAGAAATGGATCAGTCTCCACTACTCACTGTGGTCAGCGTTTGTCCAAAAAGGGAAATATGTTGGCTGTACTGGTTTAAGTTATTGCATAAAAGTTGAATTCTTTCCTTCTCTAGCTCCAGCATGCTCTGAAGAGGAGAGGAAAAAAAAATGAGGGAAGATCAAGCATGTGTTCTGCAAAGTTGGTCACCACCACAGTCACCCCTCCCACACAGTCACCCCTCCCACACAGTCACCTACCCCACTGTGAGATAGCCTGAGCAAACTCTCCTGATGTGCCTCTCACTATGGTATATCCAAACTGCAGTAGAAGGAGATTCCCAGGACAGGGATATGACTCGCTGTCTGTCCTAATACCCCCATTTAAGATGGATTTAACTCATGAGCTTCCCTGTGATCCTCTGCCTGCACACAGCATGTGGGCAGACGCTACAAGTTACCTGCTGTTTACAAAAAAGGAGAAAAAGATAAATGAAGGCATTGAGACGCATCTTTGATGTTTTAGAAGAGACTAAAACCTAAGAAGACCCATCTTCATATCTTAGAAGCGGTGTTAGACACCAAATACTTCCAAAATTGTTGACAATACAAGCAAGGCACATTCTCCTTCCTGTCTCTGTAAGAGTGCAGATAATATAATGATCCATGGATCATTAGATGATTCGTCAGAAGGATTGGAGATAGGAACTGATTAAAAAAAAAAAAAAGAGGGCCAGTGAGATGGTCTGACCTCTGTTACATGATGGAAGGAGAAAACCAAGTCCTAGAGATGTCCTGTGACCTCCACACATGCTTGGTGGCAAGAATTCATTGTTGTACTGTGTGCATTTGCATGCACGTACACACGTGTGCGCGCACACACACACAAATAAATACTTTCAAAAATTGATGATAAGAAACAAGTTTATTTCTCAGCTTCTTCTTAGCCTTGTGTGCAGTTTGTAGAAAAGCTAAAAGAAGGGGCTGGAGAGATTGTTCAGTGCTTAAGAGTATTTGTTGCTCTTCCAGAGGACCTGAGTTCAGTTCCAAGGACCCACACCAGGCAGACCACACATACACACAAAAACAGAAATAAAACAAATAACATAAACAGAAATAAAATAAATCATTTTTAAAAAGGGAAGAAAAATGCACCTACAAGCCATCTGTTAGGTAAGCTACCAGAAGAGCTATAGCAAGTCTTCTTGGGCAGAATTCTTCTACTGGCAATTCCCCCATTTAGTGCCAGGCACTCAACCCATTTTTGTTCCTAGCATGGGATTTCTTCTAGGAATTTTAATTGGTTGTGACTCTATTCCATGTTAGAATAAGCTATAACAATAATAAAGAAAAAGAGGGCGTGAATTTGAGACAAAGTCAGCGGAGAGTAACATAGGAGGGGGTTGAAAATGATATTGTGTTTTAAGTTTTTCATTGCAAAAACATCTATAAATTAAATAAAGAGATGGACAAACAACAAAAAGGTTACACGTTCTCTTGTCATTTTTTTTTTTTTTTTACTTTTTGAGACAAGCTCTCATGTAGCCAAGGCTAGCCCCAAACTTGCTATGAATGACACCCATAGGATGACTTTGAACTTTTGATCCTCTTACTTGTGCATGCTGCATACAAGAGTTACAGGTGGGATGATAGGCATGTACCACCGTCGTGTGTGTGTGTGTGTGTGTGTGTGTGTGTGTGTGTGTGTGTGTGTGTGTGTCTGTGTGTGTGTGTGTACCTGCATGAGTTTATGTTTACCACATACATGCAGGTACCCACAGAGACCAGAAGGTGTTGGATCCCCTGGAACTAAAGTTATAGGAGGTACTGGAGACTGGATGCGGGTCCTCTGTAAGAGCAGCAAGTGCTCTTAACCACTAAGCCATCTCTCCAGCCCTCATAGCTTTTTTTGGACAATTTTTTTTTTATTATTTGAGAATTTCACACATGCATTTAATGTGTTTTGCTCAAATCCACTTTGTTTCCCTCTCCTCCCATCCCTTCCTTATTCCCTCCACCACTCTCCCCTCCCAACTTTATGTGCTCTGCTTTAAGCCCACTGAGTCAAATCAGTGCTGCCTGCATGAGCCGGCATCCCTGAAGAAAATGGACTCTCCATCAACCAGAAGACATCAGTTGTCAGTAGCTCTTCAGTTGGGGTGGGGCTTCATGAGCCCCTGCTCCATCCACGCTGAACATTGGCTGGCTTGATCAGGTGTAAGTCCTACATGCACAGCCACAGCTGTGTGAGTCCGTGTGTGCAACAGTGCTGTCTTTTCCAGTGGATACTGTTGGATGCGCATGTCCATTTCCTCTTCACTTACAGTCATTCTGTCCCCTCTTCCACGATGACCCCTGATCATTGTGTGTGCCATAAATGTCCCATTTAGGGCTGAGCACTCCACAATCCAATTCTCTGCACTTCGACCAGTTTTGAGTTTCTGCTTTAGCTATCTACTACAAGAATAACCTTCTCTGATGAAAGTCACAAGATGAACTAATCTAATGGATATAAAGATGAGAACTCCAGGGGCAGTTCATTTAGCAGAATATTAGGGTTTCCCCTAGGGCCTATGACCTAGCGAGCCCTGGGATTTTGACCTTGTTAACAATATCATGGATGAGTTCTGTCTGGCAGCGCATGGTTTTAAATCCAGTTAGAAAGCATTTGTTTACTCCCATAACATCCGTGCTACTCCTACACCAGTGATCATATCAATTACCAAGCTAATCTTTACTGTAGCATTCATAGTTAGATAAGACTGTTGACTACTTTTCTCCCCTAGCACCTTTGTGTAGAACATTCCAGCACTATGAAAGATAGCTAGCCGGGCGGTGGTGGCGCATGCCTTTAATCCCAGCACTTGGGAGGCACAGGCAGGCGGATCTTTGTGAGTTCAAGGCCAGCCTGGTCTACAAAGCGAGTTCCAGGAAAGGCACAAAGCTACGCAGAGAAACCCTGTCTTGAGAAAAAAAAAAAAAAAGAAAGAAAGGAAGGAAGAAAGAAAGAGAGAAAGAAAGAAAGAAAGAAAGAAAGAAAGAGAGAAAGATAGCCAGTAGGGAGCGTTCTTTGGTATTGTAAGCATATTTATTGGTCTTATTTTATGTGTATGAGTGTTTTGCCTGTACATATGTATTTGTGCCACATGTGTGCCTGGTGCCTGAGGGTCTCTTTAACCAGTGAGCCATCTCTCCAACCCCCATTCTCTAGTCTTCAAAAAACTACCTGATAAGAGTGGAATCTCCAATTATAATCAGTTCTTGGTTTTTTTTTTTGGGGGGGGGGAACAATTTATTTCGTTTACACTTTCAGATCACAGTCTATCATTGGAAGATGTCAGAACAGGAACTCAAGCAGGGCAGGAACCTGGAGGCAGGAGCTGATGCAGAGGCCATGGAGGGGGGCTGCTTATTGGCTTGCTTCCTGTGGCTTGCTCAGCCTGCTTTCTTATAGAACCCAGGACCACCAACCTATGAATGGCAGCACCCACAATGGCCTGGGTCCTTCCCCATTAATAACGGATTAAGAAAATGTCTTACATCTGGATCTTCTGAAGGCAGTTTCTCAACTAACCCCTTTTAGATACATCTAGTTTGTGTGTCAAGTTGACGTAAGAATAGCCAGCGCATATATCCACGTATTTCTTCTGCAGAAATCTTTCCCACCAATTGCCCAACCATACTCTTTCCAAGTCCCTGACCATCCAGCCAATCCATTGGCTACAGCCCATGAACCAGTTAGCAAGCACACATCTGCCCATTTCTCCTTCCAAATAATGTCACGAGCATGTGTACTGCCAGCAGTTCTGCCTACTGTGAAGATTTGTTTTCTCTGACAATGCCTTTCAGGCTTGTTCCAGAAAGGAGCTGTACTGCTGCTACCGTCCACTTCTGGGTGATGCCTAATGTGCAGACCCATCAGTAAACCAGTCCCTCTTCTCCTCTTCCTCAGTTAACCAATCACGGGGCACCCCCTCGAGGCTACAGAGGCATTCTTGGCAGCAGATGGCATGGTAGCAGTAGTAGAGGCCATAAGCATTTGGGACACTTCTTTTTTTCTGCATTTTATTTTTTTAATTAAATTTTTAAAATTTATTTTACGTGCCAACCACAGTTTCCCCTTTCTCCTCTCCTTCCTGGGTAAAATGGGGGTGGAGTGGTGGTGGTAGAGGGGAGGGAATGGGGGATGGGAACATAAGGAATCGGGATGGCCAAGTTATGGAAGGGATGGAGAGGGAGAGCAATGAAAGAGATATTTTGATAGAGGGGGCCATTATGGGGTTAGGGAGAAACCTGGTGCCAGGGAAACTCCCAGGAATCCATAAGGATGACCCCAGCTAAGACTCTTAGCAATAGTGGAGAGGGCACCTGAACTGGCCCTCCCCTGTGAATATCCTAACTGTCATCGTAGAACCTTCATCCAGTAACTGATGGAAGCAGATGCAGAGATCCACAGCCAAGCACCAGGCCGAGCTCTGGGAGTCCAGTTGAAGAGAGGGGGGAGGGATTATATGAGCAAGGGGAGTCAAGATCATGATGGGGAAACCCACAGAGACAGCTGACCTGAGCTCATGGAAGCTCATGGACTCTAGACCAACAGCTAGGGAGCCTGCATGGGACTGACCTAGGCCCTCTGCCTGTGGGTGACAGTTGTGTAGCTTAGTCTGTTTGTGGCGCCCCTAGCAGAGGGACCGGGATCTGTCCTTGGCACAAGAGCTAACTTTTTGGAACCTGTTCTCTATGGTGGGATACCTCACCCAGCCTTGATGAGAGGGTGGGAGGTGGGGAGGGTGTGGGGGTTGAAGTTTGGTCCTGCCTCAACTTGACAAGCTTTGTTGACTCCCATAGGAGGCCTTACCCTTTCTGTGGAGTGGGGGAGGGTGGGGAGAAAGGAGGCTGGGGGAGTGAACAGGAGGAGAGGAGGGAGGAAAAACTGTGTATAATGTATGTATAATCAGTTCTTAATGCTAACCTATATTATATCTGGGGCGTCAGAGTCTATTGATTAAAGGTAAAAACATGGTCCCCATGTTTTATGTGGGATAACAAAAATTCCACAGCTGGATTTTAATGACTTTTAGCTAACAAGGGTGGATAAGGAAGCAAGGAGCACGCACTGGTTAGGCGTGTTAAGGTTACACTGATAGCT